CCCTAACCCTAACCCTAACCCTAACCCTAACCCTAACCCTAACCCTAACCCTAACCCTAAGAAGGCTGCAAACTAGAAGTTGGAACTGCCCACTCGAGAGAAAACTATGGATGAGATGCTGTGTCGGTTTCCTTTCGACAAACAAATTGAACCAGAATCAGATATTACCGGACCAAGATATTCCAAGACTGAGATCAAGGACCTTGGGCGAAGGTGGTGTGTCCCCTTTAGACGCAGGTATAAGGAGGACCGAGCTTCCTTCTAACTCCCTAGGCTTCTTACCAAGGCCACCGGAAACAGCAATAAGATGCCTGATATCTCCTTCATTCGCAAAGTCTTCATCGAGGCATGCTTCAGGTCAGGACGTGATCTATATTCTAGTGAGTAATCTCTTGACTTGGTACTACTCAAGGACCTAAAAATCTCATAGTTCTAATAGTTCTAACTTGATCTGATAAAGACCGTTGATTTTGAGGGTAGTAGATTAAAGTAAGGGGTAACAATCCCCGTTTACTTCTCTTAGAACTTGGAGGAGGAAGAAGGACAGAGACCACTGGAGATTGCTTCTCCGTTAGGGATCAGTTAGTAATTAAGAAAATATAATTCGTGACCCGGTAGGCAATCCCCTAGTTTGACATTAGGGAAAGGGGGCAAACGTTGCTTTAGTCAACACGACCCCATTTACAAGTTCACTTCAGAACGTCCGGCGTCCTTAAACAATTGTCGCAACTGTTGTTCATACTCTTTTTTGTCCGCAAGTTTTGCAGCTACAACCTCTCGCGCATCAGGAGCCCAGTAAGCTGATACCATTTGTGCAAATCTGATATCCCGTCGTGGCTCAAATATTGGCTGTATATGTTGGACAAAAAGGTTGAACAGCCCTTTTGGGCTTTTTAGTGCATGGGAATACCAGAAGTTTCCAATCTTCCAGCCTCTCCTCATGATGTCTGCGCGGTACACAGTACTGCCGTACACAGATGGAAACGATTTCTCCTCCTCCTCGAATATGTCCATGAATTCTTCGCATGCTTTCTCAAACGTTCGAAGCTCTTCACCTCTAAGCTCGTCTACGCCGCGGTTGGTTATCCAATATGGAGGAGCTAGCATCTCTATAGGAAGTGAGCATGCCCACTCAAGGTCGATAATATATTTGACATGCCAATTGCTGTCTACAAAGATGTTACCTCTATGTAGGTCTGTGAGACTGAAAGCAAATGGTCCATGCCGAAGGTCGCGGGCTGTGAACTAGGGAAGGAGTCCTCGCATTGTAAACAGACTTGCCATCTGTAAAAGACCGTCTTCCTCGTTGGTCATAGAGTTAGGCTGATTTCGTATGCGGCTATCATGGCATGCCAAGAGATCAGCGTAGTATGCATCAGTAGTTGTGTATGTAAGATTTCTTGGTATGTTAGTCGGAATACCTTCGTTCTCGAGAGAATGGAAATGATGAGCCAAAGGACGATTTGTTAACATAAGGACACCTCGTTCGTCTATCGTCCAGGACCCGATGCGAGGCAAAGGCAACTGACTCAAGGCGAGCATGATGCGGGATAGATCTTTGAAGAAGTTGGTCCTCAGGTCGCGATCGTGGCAGAATTCGTCCCAGGACTCTGAAAGCATCTTTGCATCTGTTGTCTCGATATAATCCATAATCAAATATCCATGCCCCATGACGCTCTGACGGCTGTAGCTTATGTATCTACAAGGAAGGGTAGGGGGATTGTACGCTCTGACCGCTTGGAAACCCAAACCCCCATAGGAAGGGTATTGGAATATGTGAACAGTTTTCCTGAATCCAGATAAAGGCAGCGATTTCGGCGCGGAGTTTCTCGTTTGAATTGCCAGGACAAGTTGATTCTCCGACTTTGTATGGTAGTGGTAGCCGAAGTAGTACTCGTTTCCCCGGATGCCTCTTCCAATTATCTACGTATATCGGTATGCAAACATTGAAACTGCCATGTTTCCACTCCCTGAATTCTCCAAAGCGGCATGTTTCGTTGCTGGCCAGGCCGAGATGGAGCGATACGAGATTCTTGAAGTCGTCGCGATGCTCATATATCCAGAATAAGAAGTCCTCGCGTTGACTGGAATATGCTAACGGGAAAAGCATATTGTCCTCCTCGTCGAGAGCTTCTGCCAAGGTCATTTCCCCATGGAGAAGTGGAAGGGTAGCTAAGACGTTTGGCGGATGCTCAGAACCAGGAAGCGCCGATTGTGACTTTGGTGCAGCCTGATCTTCCGCGTCGAGGCTGCAACGGACATCGTTAGAGAGCGATGTTGTAGAAGGCATGCTCTTGTCACTCATGTTGGGAGACGATGACATGGGAATGAAGGAGATAGGATTGATTGTGGAGACACTCAATTGGTTGCGGTGCCGCTATACTAACAATGGCATGCCGCTACAATCGGCCTAACGCTCAGGCACCGCGAGCTGACTCGCTGGAATAAATCAGGGGACAGACGGTCATATTACTAATACTATCAACCGGTTACCGATAACGGTGGACTCGAACCTCGCTTCTTCTGGAAGGTTACCCCTGTGTGCGAACTCGCCTCGCGTATCATTAACCGAGCGACCTCCCTTCTCCGGATAGCTTCGCTGCACGATCCATCCCTCGTCGGCTACGCGTACCAATCAGACGGCCCCATCTAACCGTCGGCCCTGACTTGATTTCCCGTCCCGTCCGCCCCGCCGGGTCTTATCGCCGCCGCCAATGCTTTGCCAGGGCCAGCCACGTGCGGCTCTACAGGATCTTCTCCTTCTATAGAGATTACAGCAACACCACTACACCACTCTTCCACCTTCATTTCGAACCAGAGCAACTATAAAGCCGTCGCCCCTTGCTTCGTCGCCGTCATGTTGTCGATCCAGCCCATCTTTTCCCCTTCCTCTCCTCCCCTTCCTTCCCCAGGTCTCTCGTTCACCTCTCGGGCCAGATCAACGTGCACATCGCCTATATAGCATGAAGACCACTGCGGCTCTGGCGCTGGGAGCGCTCTCCTCAGCCGTTGCCGTCCACGCCGTCCCCGTCGTCGACGAGAGCTATCCATACACGGGTCCCGCGGTGCCGGTCGGCGATTGGGTCGATCCGACTATCAATGGTAATGGCAAAGGCTTTCCGCGTCTCGTCGAACCCCCCGCCGTCAAGCCCGCGACGAGCAATCCCACCAACAATGTCAATGTCATCTCCTTGTCGTACTTCCCACAGGGCATCAATGTTCACTACCAGACTCCCTTTGGTCTGGGCGTGCCCCCGTCTGTCCAATGGGGCACCTCTCCCACTGACCTGGACTACACGGCGGTTGGGTACTCTCACACGTATGTACATCCTACCATCTCCTCCGCTGATCTCTTCTACCTCTCCACAATCATTAAAACTCGGTGCGCTGACCTGGGATCGGATGTGCCAGTTATGACCGCACCCCGCCCTGCTCCATGATCGCCGCTGTGACTCAGTGCAGCCAATTCTTCCACGAAGTCCAGATCGGCGGCTTGAAGCCGGATACCACGTACTACTACCAGATCCCCGCCGCCAACGGCACCACGGCCTCGGAGGTCTTGAGCTTCACCACGGCGCGTGCCGCCGGCGACCCGAGAGAGTTCACTGTCGCCGTTCTCAATGATATGGGCTACACCAATGCCGGCGGCACATACAAGCAACTGATCCAGGCCGTGGACGAGGGCGTCGCCTTCGCGTGGCACGGCGGGGACCTGAGCTATGCAGACGATTGGTACTCGGGAATCCTCCCCTGCGAAGATGACTGGCCTGTCTGCTACAATGGCACCTCGACCGAGCTCCCTGGTGGCTTTCCCACCCCCGACGAGTACAAGGTCCCGCTCCCAGCGGGCGAGGTCGCGAACCAGGGCGGTCCGCAAGGTGGTGATATGAGCGTCTTGTACGAATCGAATTGGGATCTCTGGCAGCAGTGGATGGTCAATATCACCGCCAAGGTGCCGTATATGGTCATGCCCGGGAATCACGAACCGAGCTGCAGCGAATTTGACGGCCCGAAAAACATCCTGACGGCGTACCTAGACGACGATGTCTCCAATGGAACGGCGCCGGAATCCGAGCTCACGTACTATAGCTGCCCCCCCTCCCAGAGGTACGTACTCCCCTGTTACATTGCGATAACATATGTTCTTGAACACCTCCCCCTAACAAGAACAGAAACTTCACGGCCTATACGCACCGCTTCCGGATGCCGGGAGACGAGGTAGGCGGTGTTGGCAACATGTGGTACTCGTTCGACTATGGACTGGCTCACTTTGTCTCTATCGACGCGGAGACCGACTTCGCCAATAGTCCCGAGTGGCCTTTCGCTCGCGACGTCAAAGGCAACGAGACCAAGCCCACGCCAGATGAGACTTTCGTGACAGACAGCGGGCCGTTTGGTGCCGTAGGCGATTACAAGAACACTAAGACCTATGCTCAGTACCAGTGGCTAGCTAAGGATCTTGCCAGTGTCGACCGGAAGAAGACTCCTTGGATCATTGCCATGTCTCACCGTCCTATGTACAGCTCCCAGGTTTCATCCTACCAAGCGGATCTCCGTGCAGCTTTCGAAGACCTCTTGCTCCAATACGCTGTTGATGTCTATCTTTCTGGGTAAGCTTCCTAATCCGATTGTCGAAACCCCTACTATCTCCTTCATCTTTGTCTTCATTATTACTTTTTACCTTCTTTGTATGCTTCATCGCGTGCTCTATCACCTTTTCTCACCAGTATTAGTCACATCCACTGGTACGAGCGTCTCTGGCCTCTTACCGGGAACGGCACCATTGACACGTCTTCTATCGCCAACAACAACACTTACTATACCAACCCCGGCGTGTCCATGACCCACATCATTAATGGCATGGCCGGCAACGTCGAGAGCCATAGTACACTAGGTGCTGGCGACAAGGTCCTGCCAATCACCACCGTCCTTGACTTCGAACACTACGGATTTAGCAAGCTCAGGGTTATCAATGCTACAGCCCTCACGTGGTCTGTTGTCCGGGGAGATAATGGATCTATCAGAGATGAGCTCACGTTGCTCAAGCGGAAGCCTTCAACCGGCACCAACTCCACCTCGACCTCTTCTTCCAGCGCTGCCGCCCCCTCTACCAGTGTGACCGCTTCCTGGACCAACGCGACCAGTTCTTCTCTTAGCGCTACTCCTGGCGTTACCTACACCACTGAGATCGTCACGGCTTACACCACCTATTGCCCGCACCCGACCGTTATCACCCAGGGCTCCAGCACTTACACCGTAACTAAGGTTAGTTTCTATCAAGGATGAGGACGTTCCTAGGTTTCGAGAACTAATAGAGGGCTCTAGGCTACTACCCTGACGATAACAGACTGCCCGTGCACTCTCACCCACACTGTAACTAGCGCTTCGATGTAAGTTTAAACCCTTCTATATTTTACACGACCTTCTAATTGACAATCGCCAAAGCCCGCTCAGCACCGCTAGCCCCGCAACTTCTTCCAGTCCTGCTACCTCCGTAATCTCTGCCTCTGCTACATCCGGGATCTTCAGCGCAGTCACTGCTGCTGCTTCCAGCTCTGCTAGTTCTGCCAGCACCACTGAAAGCATTCCTGGTGCTACCACCTCAGCATTCTACACTCCTGCCCCCACTGCCAACTCTAGCACAACTGCCGCGGTTACCAGTACCCCAATTCCCTTCACCGGCGGCGCCAGCCGCGTGTGTGCCGCTTCTCTTGCTAGCCTCGCGGGTCTCGCACTTGCCATTTACTTCTTTTAAATGTGTACTTTTATCCTTTAGTCAAAAAGAAACTTTGATAATTTTAAATTCACATTAATTTCCAGTCCGCCTCAACATAGAAATCGACATTTGAGCTGCCATCCGCCAAACATCTAACCTATCCCTCTCTCCATTACATACTGGCCTAACATGGCACGCACCTAGCCTCTTGGCTAGGCAACGCAAAAAGGTACTGCCTGAAATTCTCTACTACGCTATTAATACTCATACGTCTTGGTCTCGAGGAATCACAGGTCACTAGGTTTGATTGTGTAGGGTAGTAGTTGTACTCCGGAATAAGTTAATTTGGCTACACATAAACTCTTGATTACTACAACCAGTTCTAAGAACAGGCCTGATTCAAGTCATATCTACCCACTGCCCTTGGGCTGCGGCCGGAATTTGGTAAACTGGAAGTATACAATGTACCCTCACCCTTATGGTAGTACTACAAGCAGTGTAATTACAAACGAACGATGACACGAGTTCCGTGAATTATTTTTTACTTCCGACTTCACTAGAATGCGTCCTGCACAGAAGAGTTGATCCAGAATATAGGCTATAGCCAGTGAAAGAGCCGTATCTTCCTAGCAGTTAATCTGTCTTACAACATCCGTGATAGGACTATTAGTAGCCAGCGCCTCATCCTCAGCCAGATCCAGGACCTAGATCCTCACGAATTAAAGGAGAGGGCCGAGCTTGTGCCTTTCGTATCAAGAAATTTCATTCCTGTTTCCATCGGCCAAGGCACCAACATTGGCAACTCCGTTGCTAGTATAACGCCACAAGATGTTTTTTTTTTCTACCTACCGCGGTCGCCGGTTGGTGAAAATGCTGAATCGTCCGCCTTCAAGCCAACGTGCACCCTTAGTCTCTTCCATCTGGCCATACTACTTTCAAGTTTCAGTCGGCGTTCCATCCTGTTGAACCCTCTGGCCTAGATTCTAAACTACTCATAGTATGACTGCTCCATTCTCTATGGCGGGAATAATCTCGCATTTCGCCAGTCTAGTTGAACGGTCGAGGTGAGATTAAGCAATGAGGCTGAAGTCTGGCAGCGCCGGAGCGTTGGCTTCGCATCCGGCTTGACCTGGCGCGGGTACACCAACGGGTACACCAACGAGTACAGCAACCACGACGAATCAGGGCCAGCAAAGATATGCAACAAAAGAGGGGAATGTACATGGTGCGGGAATAGGAGCGTTAAGGTCTCACGGTGAATCTAATGAATGAAATCGCGAGCTGATGATGTTGACGATGTTTTGGCCAGGCGACCGAGCGACGGAGCGACGGCGCCGACCGTGCTATGTATGCACGTGATATCGGATCTTGTTAATCCGCGATCAGCACATCTACGCAAATTGGCAGAGGGGCATAAGCCGGGTTGAGAACCTGCTTCCCTGTGAAGTTGTCTTTACCCACTACCTACCTCCTACCTACCTCACATATAAACAACTGCTCTTCGCTCTCTTCACTCTACTTTCGGATCGACCGTCTCCTCGATATCGAATCGAATTGAATTAAAGAAGGCGAAGCCAGAGCCGCTTTGAATCCGCAATGATGGAAAATCTTGGTCATTATCGTTCTTCTGGCTTTCGCACTACAGCATAGGGTTCTGAGGTAGGGGAATATCTTGACCTCGACGGCTAGAGCTCTACACGTGGAAAACTGAAGACATTTTGGGACCCGCTCTCCGGCATTCGTCAGCTGAGTCAACTCAGATAGAAGATCAGCTCAGGTTCTACTTGGAGGAGAATACGGTTCTCTTGACTATGTCTAGAATTAGTCCACTCTTAAGGACATCCACCAGAGGGGTCTATCGCTGAGTGTCAAGGTTACCGATGTCCCGGATCCCGATATCAAGGATTATGCATTCGACGAGAGTATCTTGACAACCTTCAGTCTTTATCTGTCTCGTCAAAAGGACCCAGTCGCACGAAAGCAGCTGCATATTCCACCTGGATCAAAGTTAATCGTCAAGTGGTATGAGGAACAGCCCTTGTACTGTCTTTTCCGGTCATCCCTTACGAAGTCCCGTCGTCCCCTTTCTTCCGCCCTCCGGAAGGTAAGCAACATCCTTGATCCCGATTGAATCTATAAGAGGTTCAATTGTATTTTGAATTCCCGTTGTTGCGCCATAGACTAGCTTGTTGGTTTATTTCGACTCTCGACAGTTTGACAGGATACTTCACAAATCTGAGATGTTCGACAGAACTGTGGGTAGCATGCTTATAACCCTAAGGATACGCTTCAGACCTGTGCTAATAATATTTGGGCAGGTTCTAGGACAATTAACATAGATATATGTTGAATTACGGCGTAAAGTTTGGTCATGTCTCTATTCGAGAAGATACAGCTTCCCTACAGTCTTGCCCTCGTAAGATGTCCTCCAGACAAGCTCTTCCTAGCCGCCTCGTTCGAGGTCTCCCACATGGCAATCCTTCTCTGGTGACCTGCTTTAAAAGCATCCACCCACTTCTTATCAAACTTGGGAAGCTTCCTTCCAGGTTGTGTTTCAGTCGGTTCTCCAGCGAGCTTCCGAACAGTCTCAAAATAGTCCTCGAAGTCGGGGTATAGAGCAGTGAATGGTACACCGTCGCCTTTGTAGGCTATCCTATCCTTCTCCCATTTTTCTTGCTCTTCCACGCTTGGCAACTGGATTCGACCTGCTAGGAAACGTGCCGCAAGTACGCTTTGCCATTCATAGACTTTGAAAGTCAGGCCGGCAGCGACCTCGGGAACTGTCAGCATCGGTAGAGATCTTTATGGGGATGAACGTACTGCTCCTATAAATATCAGGGTAGGATCCTGTCTCTTGAAAACATGCAAATACAGATCTGGCACCCGATTGTTCCTAATGGGGACGTCTGGTAGAAATGGCAAGGTCCAAGTGTAGCCTGTCCCTAAGATAATGTAGTCGACATTGTCTAGAGAAGTACCGTCTTCAAAACGGACGGTCCTTGCGCCATTAGCACTCTGTATCCTTTTGATTGCTGGCCTTTTCTTGATGCTGGGATGTTCAAATGCGGTTCCGCCGAAGTATGGATGCCACCGCCCACGAACGACTGCATTGACTGGTGTTTCAGCATGACCCACGAGATCTACTGCAATGTCCATGCCTGATACCGAAGCGCCCACAACGACGACTCTCTGTGCCAAAGTCAGCTAGGGTCAATTTGTATAGAAGTTTCGACCCCGATTTACCTTCCCGCGATACTTTTCTACTCCCCTATAGCCTTTGCTATGCTCGACTGACCCGGGATACGCCAGGGCAAACTCCGCTAAGCCCTCGATCTCTGGGACAAAAGGGACAGTATAGTGACCACTCGCAACGAGAACCGCATCGAAATCCTCAGACCACCAATAATCCTTCTGATGCCAGTGCTCATATCTCCGGAGGGTAAGCCTCCACGTCCCAGAATCTTTCAATTTCTCAACCTTCTCAACTGTCGTGTTATACTCCACCAAATTCTGGTATCCATTACGATCCAGCAGGCTATTGATGTACTTCTGGATAACCGTGTGATGGCGGAATGGGGTGTCTCGCCCATGGCGTTTGATAGAGAGTTCGCTCGGCTTCGCAGGGATAGGTTCCTTTGAGAATTCCATCACGACCGCATCGATATTTGTCTCGAGGTGGGGGTACACCGACGTTTCCGCATAGCGGTACTGAGATGAGCTTGCCGTACGGCATGGGAGGTTTTCGGGAATTTTAAGAGGCTTGTCTGCGGTCCTGGCGGCGAGGGCTTTGATATCGGGAAGCTTGGGGACCATGTGCTCGGGATCTTGAATCCTGTTTCCATGCTTCTGTTAATGCGAGGGAATCTTTCAGAAGAACGCCGGGCTGCCAGGGACCCATGAGGAACAGAATAGCTTACCAGCAACCACCCGCCTTCTCGCGACGTTCGAAAACGCGGATAACATCAAAGGATTTCTCTTGGGCCAAGCAATCTACAGCGATAGCCCCCGCGGGACCACAACCAATGATGGCTACCTTTTTGACTGGTGCCATTTCTCTCTACCGGATCGGCCGTCTGTATGCACGATCAGACAATGGCTCTTAGACAGTTGTTCTCCCGTACGTGCGAAGAATGGCATCCAAATGATCAATGCCTCATCAATGGCTCTCTGCATCCACGACTCTGGCTCTACATATGAATGGGGGTCGGCTGCGCATATCCGATCCGAATGGCTTCATCTTTTTCCAAATCCCGACAACAGCCTGCAGGGGTTGCCGAGATTCGGGAATCACGCAATTCGACCCCACAAGAGCGTGATTGCAGTTTTGGGCATCCTAAGCTTTCGGCCGCTGTCAATCCTGTCAATCCTGTCAATCATCGACCGCTCTGGGCCGCGCGGGGCGTTGTGGCTCCAGGGCCCGTCGCCGCCGTCGACTTGAAGGCGTGCGGTTTGGGCTTGCTGTCGCGTGGCAGAGCCGCAATCCAGACGATTTAAACGATCTAAACGCGCCCCCCATCCCAGCGGCCATGCGATATGCACCTCTGTCACATTTGTCCGAGGAGAAGCCATCTCCATCGATGCGAAGGGGTGCTGCAGAGCAGATATTGCGTCAACGGGTGTGGTAAGTTTATTATGTGCTGTGCGGGATGCGGCGACATGCTTGGTTTCGCATGCATTTCTTCCCAAAGGAGCCCAGTACCCTTGGTAATTTCTCCTTTGTTGCCTTCGTCTTTTAATCCTCTTGACCGCGTCTTTTTCTTCCTATCTCTGACGCGCAGATGGCCATGGAGAAAGCCCTGGAACAGCAGCTCCCTGTGGAGCCGACGTGGAATTCCGATTCAGAGCATGAGCAGAACGAGTCGGATCACAGGCATGGGGGCTTCGACAACACAGAAGCCATACGAGCTCGCAGGAAGTAAGGGCCTGCCCAGTGAGGACTTGAGAGAACATGATTGACATTCCCGTTCAGGGTCGACATGACCGTCCTCCCACTCCTCTTCCTCGGCCTATCCGTTTTCCAGCTCGACCGCATGAACCTCGCCAGCGCTCTCACAGCAGGCTTCCAAACGGCCATCCATATCGACCAGTCGACCGTTAATGCCGGCAACCAACTAATGTTCGCCGGCATTGTCTTGCTCGAGATCCCATCTAACATGCTCCTCCAGCGAGTCAGTCACCCTTCTCTGCCTCGCAAGACGCAGCCCTAACACGTTGATCCTAGATAGGCCCTCGAATTTACATGGGAGCCCAGGTTCTAATATTTGGCCTGATTGCGACACTACAATGTCTCGTAAAAAACCGCGCTGGATTCCTCGTTATAAAATCCTTTCTGGGTTTGGCGGAAGCGGGGTACATTCCTGGAGGCGTATATACTCTATCCACATGGTACACAAAGAGGGAACTGGCGAAAAGAGTTGCCATCTTCTTTTTCGGAATGTTTGGTGGTAATGCTCTAAGTCCAATTTTAGCATCTGGGATCCTCAAACTGGACGGACGGCGCGGCCTTTCTGGTTGGCAATGGCTCTTCTTAAGTAAGTCAACAACATTCCTACAGGCCACTTAGAGCTGAGTTTTGTCCTAGTCGAGGGTGTCTTCACTATGTTCGTAGGCATACTCCTCCTAATTTTCCTCCCCGCATCGCCCGAACAGCCGAAACCCCTTTTTCCAAAAGGCCTCATCCGAATCTCATCTAGAGAAGGCATCTTGCTTCAACAGCGTATAGCTACTGAATCCCCAAAGAAAATATATCGTTCCCAGCATCTAAGTATCTCTCCAAGGATCGTTTGGAAAACACTCTGCCACTGGCGTCGCTGGCCGCATCTACTCGCCACCTCGCTGGTGTTCTCAACATGGAGCCCGCTTACTACCTACACGCCTACTATTGTCATGTCTTTAGGTTTCTCTCGTACTCCTGCCAATGCTTTAGCCTCAGTCGGCCCATTTATCTCCCTCCCAATCGTCTTTCTCTTCGCCGTCTTCAGCGACAGGACCAACGCCCGTGGACTCGCTGTCTTCCTCGCTATAATATGCTACCTTATCACATTGATCGTCCTCCGGACCACCGAGGCACACGTCGGGAAATGGAGCCGGTGGGGACTGTGGACAGTGGTTAACTCTTTTGCCATTGGGTACCATCCAGTGCATAATACGTGGTTGCAATTAAATTGCGAGGGGCCTGAGGATAGAAGCGTGAGCATGGCGTAAGTTTTGCACCCCTGATAAGAACAATCCCTCAGAAAACCTAGCTTGGTGAAGAGCGAGCATAAGCTGACAAGTCCATCAGATTGTGGGTAATGTCGGCAATTACAGGTCTCATGTACGGGTCCCAATATTTCCAGGCGGATGATAAGCCATTTTACCATCGGGGGTTGGTAATTATGATTGGGGTTGTGAGTGCTGGAGCGGCCCTGGTCCTTCTTCAAGAGGGGATATATTGGCTTTGGAATCAGAGGGCTCGAGCCAGCAATGCGCAAGAAGAGGATCAGACTAAATACAAGCGTTTATATGTCCCGTAGGTATAGATTCTGTTTATGTTAAGTTCTAAAAGTAGAAATTTAAGCATGACCAAAGGTATCGGATACAGTGTGAATTGCAGCACATGCAGTTTTGTCAAACGGGAGGAAAGGACTTGTTTGAAGAGTGAAGGTAGGGGTCTAGAGAGTATGTCTCTTGTCTATAAGGAGAGCACAAAAAGATATAGGTTATGTTCTTCTTGGGTAACTTTAATCCACCAAAAAGCTGTCGGCTCAAGTAATCACATTAAACAATCAGGAGCAAGAATGATATCGGTACTAATAGATAAAAGATAATAGAACACTACATAGACTAAGGCAATATAGCAGGAGATCTCATTGACTGCGGTTTATGATCTATCCAATTCTAATCACCAGTACAGCTCCATTGGGAAAACGTCAAGTGCTTTCACGCCAGTCTCAGTGATTTGGACAATTCTCTCAGTACGAAGCCCACCGACGTTGGGGACGGTAATCGTAGCCTTGAGTGTAAACACCATGTTCGGCTTCAGAACGGTTTGGTTCCCGGGACCAATCCATGGCTGTTCTTCCTCACAGTCCATGCCGGTACCATGGCCAGTTCCGTGGCCACGGGCTTCGCTCGAGTACTCTTCGTAACCACTTTCCACCAACGATTGTTGAATGACGGCGTTTAGATCCGAACATGTAATGCCAGGACGAGCGGTCTTCAAACCGGCTTCAACGGCCCGCGCAGCAGCTTGCACGATGGCCTTCTTCTCCTTGCTCGCCTCACCATAAGTGAAACCCCGGCCGCCGTCAGCAACATATCCTCGATACCGAGCCCCCTGCAAAGATACGATTAGCTAAATTCGCTCGCGTGGAATTCTAAATGAAAGAACATACAATGTCCGTCATCACTAAATCCCCGGGTTGAACAACACGATCAGTTGGGCGAGCGAGATTGAATCCTGAGCGAGGCCCTGCCTGGACCATTGCATCAAAAGCAGTACGGTCTGCACCACCAGCAAGCATAGCCCGATCTCCAATGAGGGCTAATTCACGCTCGGTATGCGGCTTGCCATCCTTCAACGTCTCTCGGATAGCAACCATGGCAGCATCAGTCAACGCGGAGGCCTTCAGTATCAGGGCAACCTCACGGTCACTCTTGATTGCCTTGATCTCTGCCAGTAACTTGGTTGGTTCAATTTTCAGGTTTCCGACGGCGGCCTCCACGCGCTTCATAAGGTCCCAAGGGATATAGGCATGCCCTGCAAGACCTAGTGTGCCGGTATGATTTGCTGCAAAAGCACTCAGCCTTTTGTGCAGCTCATCAAAGCTGTACACGGGGAATGTTGTACACTCGCTCGCATAGTTGACGCACTGCTTCGACACGAAAAGGGCGGGGTCCGAATCGACTCCGAGAAAGAAGATGGCATTGGCGATGTCTGAGACGCCATCCAAGGGACGAAATTCCGTGAAATAACAGACGTTGGAGCCACGCCAACAGTCACCAAAGCCTATCAAACCTGTTAAGCCTGCCTTGGGTAGCGCATCTCGAACCTTTGCAATGCGCTCCTGGTATTCCGAGGCTGGAATCAAGTCTTCCGCATGTGTATATGTGGAACCGTATTCGATGAAACTGTTTGAGCTTCCATTAAGGTGGTGTATATTTGTTGGCCCATTTGCAGTAGCAGTGGTGGTCTCGGTCAGCGTGGTAGACATTGTAACGGTTGCAAGAGCGGATGAATTGAATTGATATTTTTGATCTAAAATTCTGCGGAATTGAAGAAGAGCTGAGTGCTTGATGAAAAGTGAGTTGTAATACAAAGAGATATGGCCTTTTATATCTACTCGATATCACTCGTTTATAGTGCAATTGCCATTCTAGTACCTGTTGTAACTTGCAACCACGTCCCTGAATAGAGGTGCTTGCTTGCTCCAAATCTGTCAGGTGGTTGACTTGCCAGATACAGACCGGCCAAGAGCCAAATACCTCGCAAGTAGGAGATAACTTTCCTCCAAAACTGAGTTAACAGTCCGAGCTAAAAGATCTCGAAAAGTTGCTTAGGAGCAGTTGAGAAGGCATGTTGAAGCCTGAAGGGTCAGACGGGCTGCATTCTCTCCCATTTCCCCCCTTCCTATCCCACTTTCCTTGACTCACGTCCGCACAATTCTTCCTTTTTTGATTTTCGAGGTAAGACTTCCCGAGAATACCGTGATCAGCCAGCTTACCGTCACCTTACGCCCCGCTAGGATCTAATCCTGTAGAGCTTATCGTGAGCAGCCCCACGCCCCCACTATCCCCCCGCTATCCCCGCAGTGGGGGCGCACTATGTTCTCCGCATTTCGCCAATTCAGGCGCCCCCTCGGCTGTACGGTTATGCATTAGTCAGATATCGAATCGAGATATTCTCTCCATTAACACTTCAATCAAGCCAAATGCAGAAACATGACGCGACCCTCCATTCCGGTGCAATATCCAACACCGCGGTTTGATTTGGATATTTCCCGAATAGGCCACGGACGGCCATCCCGTTCGGCCACAGTCCTATACAAATGTCTTCTAGGACCCTGAGCGGTCACAACGTCATAAGCCATAAGTTTGACGACATTTCTTGAGCAAGTGTGTTTAACGGACTTTTTGCCTGTCATGTGCTACACTTCGTAGAAGCTGTGGAGGGAACATACCAGCATTGTAGTGTGTAGGGGGGAGTCCATCGAACGCGTGGTGGTTTTTAAGGTACGAATCAGTAGATCGTATCTGCATTACTTCGACTCTTTTAGAGCACCTTCCTTTGGTATTTATTTACATTTACGGATATATTGAAAAGGTGCCGAGGTATTGTCTGTAAGATAAGGTACAGAAGGCTCTTGGAGTTACAGACATTGTGACAAAAGTGATAGGCTACGGACGACTCTTCCAAAAGTACCATGTCATCTGTTGTAATGGTTCTGCTCTATAGAATCCCGTTCATTGATCAATTAATCTCTGACACTTCAATAAAGTTATAAATTATTATCTGGAGTTTTGCTTTGGGAAGATAGTGTTGTATATAAAACAATCTAGGTTCATTGAAGTCCTTTAGATTGAAGGTGCCGCCGTCCGACTTCTCAGAAAATCGTCCCAAATTAGTACTCCATTCTCAAATAAAGTTCCTTTATCCAACCGCTCAGCAACTATTTCCAGCTCCAGATACAGCAGAATCTCCCGAAACAACATCAGAGAAGGAACACCTAGTTTCCATGAGCGGCTTGGCCCACCATCTCGACCTGCTCGTCACTTCCATCTTTTTCGCGGCCACTTTCAACATATTCCTCATCGCTTTTCTCGGACTTTGCCTGATTGTTCCTCGAGTGGAAGGCACTTGGTTTCCCTGTAAAGATCTCGTCGATTTCCTCCAGGGACTTGCGGGCAGTCTCGGGATAGAAGAACTTTATGATCGTCAATTTGTCTAGTTCTTTCCTCTTCGAAATAACTATTTTGGGAGAGATAGACGTTGGGCATCAGTTGAAACTTACGTAGATAAGAGGAACAAAAGTAGCAGCGAGGACGGCCCAGATAATGTAGAATTTCCAGCCGAGATTCGACACGCCTGGGGGTGTAATTTCCACGACCTGATCCGTGGTGAGTATGCAATGTGTTGAGACTGACTCAAGAGTATGCTATAGATACTTACAAGAAATGTGCAAATCCAGGAGAAGCTGGTTGCAACAGCAGAGCCCTTCGCTCTTAATCTCAGAGGTAGTAGTTCAGGAGTATACATAAATGGAGTACCCATAAATGCAATCCCGTATATGGCAATATACGTAAAGAAGAACACTTGATGGTAAGTTAGTAATTAGCTGAGAGAAGATAATTGATAAACTCGGGCAAATCTTACCTATAGCTGCATAGTTTGTAGGTTGCTTGTTGATGCTCAAGAGGATAGCCACCATCATCATGTTAATAGCACATGAAGCCGAAGCAATTATAAATGGCTTCTTTCTTCCGTACCTATCTAGGAAGAAGACCGGGTAGAATGAAGCAAGGAAAAATACTAGACCATTAAGACCCGAAACCCACAGGGAGGTGCCTCGGGATAGACCCATGGTTGTTTCGAGGAGATATGGTATGTAATAGACCAGGGCATTAACACCACTCATCTGTTGAAAAACACTGATGCCAATTGCCAGGATCACACGTCTAGATAATTCAAACGTCAGAAAGCTTCTATAACGTAATTTAGGAATTGAGTAAATATACCTTCGGTTTTTGACCTCATTATTCCAGAATAATTCCCTCCACCTCACCGGGCCTTGTGCCTGTTCAATTTCAAGAGCTAGAACAATCTCATCTCGGCGAGCCACAACTGCAGGAGTATGCTCTGTTGCATCCTTACTTTCGAGAGCGGCGAGGATAGCAACCGCTTCTTCCAAGCGATCGTGCGCAATCAACCACCTGGGCGATTCTGGGAGGAATGGAAGCATGAGGAGACTAATTGATGCAAAGACCATCTGAAGGGACACCGGAAGTCGCCACGAAACGGGTCCAGAGACATAGCTTAGACCGTACTCAAACCAGTAGGAGAAGAATATACCGAATCCAATCGAAGATCCCAGAACAGATAGAAGCTTTCCACGATTCCTGGGCTTTACCATCTCGGCGGCCCACATAGGAAGCGTTGCGGCGAGTGTGCCCATCCCTATACCTGCAAAGATCCGGCCAACGATCATCTGACCAAGTGAAAAGGAGGAGGTCTGCAGGGCAGCACCGATCATCATGATAGCAAGACCAGCGTAGGACGAGCCCTTCCGGCCCAGCCTCTCCCCGAAGCCTTTTGAGAGCGTCATTGAAGGTGTTTCCTCGCCGTTGTGATCAAGACTTACCTGAGCACATCATGGCGCCCAGCCAAGCTCCAACATCGTAGAGCGCAACAACCTAAAGCTTTATGTTAACTTCAGAAAGCACATTAACTTTTGAAAGTGTACATACAGTCCCTGTGGATAAGTGTCAGACAATAATCTCATCAGAACCCATAGGACGACATGACATACCTACTACACTAGAATTGGGATGATCCAGAGTGTCAAGAAAATCGGAATTCCCTATGACCCCGCTCAAAACTCCCTGGTCATAACCAAGTAGGAGAAATCCTGCGCCGGCACACACAATTACCGCACTGCTAAGTTTTGTGCCTCGGGCGCCAAAGAAGTAATGGCCGTTACTCGGACGCGTGAGGAAAGCCATGGAGGCAGATGCTTATTGCCAATGATAATTGTCCGCTAGTATATAGAGATGGTAGGGCTTGAAGTGAACTCGATAGTAGGGAAGTAGATTGAAGAGGAATTGCTTGCCTCTTTATAAATCTCGTAGAAGCTCTCAGGAGTCAGGGGAACTATAGCTCATGCCGGTGTTTTGGTACAATGGTACGTCCCTAATGACCTGAGGTAGATACGATTTTCGTGTGGACATGGTGAATTCCCCGGAAATGGGGAAGATAACACCCCACGTAGGATGAGGAAACAATTCCCATAATTACCCGCGCCTTGGTTGGAAATGGAAGAAGCACGAGGTCAAACTCCTGCAATAACACCGTCATGCCCCTGTACAATGGACCAATGTTTTACCTTTTGTGCACTTCGTCGTCTGGATGCATGATTACAGAGTAGGGAGTATTAGGCGCGGTATGTCTAGTCGGGTTGTCTGGGATTGCAAAACCTGGAGCCGAGCTGGAGCATTGGTGGGATGGTGGCTTTCCCCAGAATCCCCAAGTTGAACCTTCCCCGCATCCACTATCAATAGAGAGACCCACCGACAACGCTTGCCCCGCGTTCCAGGAGCTGATATTGTGCATGTCCGCAAGGAACCACAGGGCACGAATAAAACGTGGCCAAGGCACTTTAGCTTGTTCTGCTGCAAGGTCCAGATCTCAGCTCTGGTCATCCTGCTGCACGGGACGACATCATGACCCTGACGCGATGATCTTCTTTTTGGTCAACTCGAACGTGGGAATTTAGTCCGAGACGTGCGATAAGCCCTTGCGGAGCCCTTTAGTACTATGTGACCCAACTCGGCGAGTCCATTTTCTTCCTCTTTCATCCCATCACCCGTTCATGCAATCTGCTCCGAAATCGATGCATCAATGCGGACAATAACTCACACTCAAGCTACGCCGAAGAAGTGGCGGCGAGGATGGTGAGCTACCAGCATTCGTTGGCAACTGCCTTCTTATCCAGAAGTGTGGCTAATCTAAGGACCCGACATCAGCCTCACATGTCGTCGGCGTCACCTGAAATGTGACGAGGAGAAACCCATCTGCGCTCGTTGCCGGAGAGCATCAAGAGAATGCAAGCAGGACAATGCTCTGACGTTTCGGAGTAGTCAGCGAGTGGCAGCAAGAGGAATAGTACAGCCCTTCAGAATTGAGAATGGCAACGGAGCTATTGGCAAAGGTGACGAAGGCCTCAATATCTTTGCAAAGGACCACCGCTGGGTCAAGACGCCTGCTACCCGTAAGTACTAAGATTTGCCGGTCTTCAAGGCTATCAGTCTTCCTGCTTACCTTCAATCTGACCGCTAACAGAGGTTTCACAGTGTCCTTCATTGATGAAACTCCAAACGTGACGGCCGATTATAGGCACAGGCAGATGTTGGAGTACGGGCTCAGCAATAACAACGACAACAACCCTTCACCTCCAGAAAAGGAGATCGAACCCCAGTCTCCCCACGAACCACGTGACCTTCCTCAAAGCTCGCCATTCAATGTATCACCGTCTGTCGTGAATCATGACATTCCGCATGTACCGCAACATTCATTTGCAATCATAGGAAGCTCTCGACATGGATCTTTTGGCAGCGTTGACGTCGAACCTTTTGATGACGGTTCTGATCTTGGTAATCTCATCATCTCGCCAGACAGTGCAACAACTAACTTCCTGCCCGCCATTACTCTACCCATTTCACCCTCCACGATCCAAACCACTGCAGTTGATGTCAGCGCCGCTCTGTCAGTAAGCCCTCGGGGCGATGTCGTCTCACCAGCGGAACGCTCAAGGAGCGAAAGTCATCTAAAGCTCTACGGAAAAAGGATGCAATTGCCGTTTGCAAATCATCAGGAGGCGCTTTTATTTCAGCATTATACCGAGAAGTTAGCACAGATGGTGCGTCTCTATTCCAATATTTCCAACCTGTAACTTGTCCTTTCAAAACTACCTCCCGAGACCTAGTAATAGTAGTAAGTAGCTAATAGCATCTCCCTAATAAGCTTGACGTTACAGACAGGCATCGACATTTTGAGTTGGACATTCCGGAACGGGCGTTCAGCTGCCCTGTTCTGTTCAATGCTATTATGGCCTTTGCGGCTCGCCATCTTAGTCGAACATCGGATTTGAACTCCGTGATCGCTGATCACTACCACCACGAGTGTATTTCGTTGCTTATACCAATGCTGGATACAAAGGAGCTTGTGGCGGATGAAACTCTCTTCGCGGCCGCCGTGATTCTAAGAGCATTCGAAGAAACAAACGGTGCATATCTCCATCAGAGTTCTTTATGCTATAAGTTGACCCAGATGATCTGCTGACGTATAGAGACTAGAATCAAAAATGGGCCAGGAGCCGGAACACCATCTGACAGGCACCTCTGTGTTTGCGAACGCTCAGCTAGAGTTTCACACTTGGGGAGGACTCGGCTACGCTGCATTTTGGAAGTTTATCAGACAGGATATCTATCTTTCAATCCTCAGCCAGCAGCCATTGAAGGTCAATCTTCATGGTTGGGCGCAGCAGCTGTCTTTCGACCTATCCTTTGGCCCGGCCGATGACTGTACGTGGGCAAATCGTATGATCTGGATTGTTGCAGAGATTGTAGTATTTTGCTTTGGTGATAAGAATGCCTCGTCTTGGAACAAATCGTTAATGAAGACTTTAAGGTGGAATCTTTGCAGGCCGAAGACTTTCGACCCAATCCTTTATATCGATCGCGATGTGAAGGCTAAACGATATTTTCCCGAGATAAAGCTGGCACATTCCTGGCATGGTGAGTTTTTAAGAGACCTGAACCGTCCGAGATCTATCTTCTATTATAACTTATAACTGAGCCTTCTGGCTGACCTGATCCATAGTCACAGGGATGCAGTATTACTACATTGCCAAACTCTTCCTTGCTATATATAACCCTAACATCCCTAAGATAGGCCTCGGATACCAACGCCAGCGACAAGCAGTATTAGATGAGGTATTCCAGAATGCGGAAGCGGTCTGCGGCATTGCGTTATCCTCATCGCTGTCCAACGCCCGGTTGACAGCCTGTACGGCAATCATGGCAGCCGGGCCATGGTTTCGCAACCGGCCGTATGAAGAACAAGAACTTCTTCTCCAATTACTTGGTCGTGCACAGAAAGAGAATGCGTGGCCTACAGAGGCTTTGGCTCAGGGTCTGATGGAAGAATGGGGATGGCCATGCTCGTCGGAAGATAAGTAGCAGATTGCCACCGGTGCCCCCATTGGTTTAAAATAGCTGTATATGCGTATTTTACTTCCTACGCATGTGAGTAGGTTATGGCGTTACTTTAATCAGGGATTTGCTTTCTCTTAACAACATACCAATCTTACATCCTATGCGAGCTGAGAGCAAGCGGTTACTTTAGTCCTCCCTAACGGGAACTTCGAATATCAGCAGGAATCTGATGAGATCTCCGCCCTTCTCCTTGGACCTAACCCTGACACTAATATATGACTATCTGATTGTGGAATGCAACGTTACGCCGTCATCCGGTCGGGGATCGTTCTTCGTCGACGTTATTTAGCAGGTGTTTTATCTTTACAACATAACAGCATGTGAACTTTGCCATTATTTAATAATTACCCACTTCAGTAAACATACACTCTCATGCATAAGTCTCGAGACCCACGGACTAGGTTTATTAGTGAGTGAATAATAACAAAGCTAAACTACGTTAACAATGTAAGACCTGTCTGGCATCGAATAAATCTAAAGGATTGTGTATTCATAACGCATAAACCTCTTACACATAGAACAAACTGCCCACTATACTGGCTTACCACCAATATCAATTTAGCCACCCATAGCCCTTTAGAAACACTTAAATTGTTGCGTCGGAAGTATTTCAGGCTTTACCTGTAATGTCAGGGCTGAGATTGCGTCGACGGATCTTCATCGGCATAGCAAGAGGGTGGGCATTGACAGTGTCCGCTGTCTGAAGCTCGAATCCCGGCTCCACGAATTCGAACTCATAACGGCGTGCCAATGTAGCTATAGAAACGAGGAGCTCCAGGTAAGATACATTTCGGCCAGCTATTGGTTTATTTAGTGATTGCTTTATGAGAGGATGGGAAGGGTGTGGACTCACTACACGCACGGCCACCTGCGGAGAAGGGGATGAAAGTCGACTGGAGCTCGGCGGCATCTTCTGCGAGCCATCGCTCGGGCTTGAATACCTCGGGGTCTTTGAAGTACTCGGGGCTATGATGCAGAGACCATGTTGGGACGGAGACGGTAGTGTTTCCAGGGATCCATTCTCCTTCAATCATCATGCCCTCAGGAGGCGTGAAGCGGGGCAGTCCACCAGGAAGAGAAGGCCGCATGCGCATCGTTTCATCGAGAACAGCACGGAGGTAGGGGAGGTTCTTTACCGCGTCGTAGGCAGGCACAACTTCCGTCTCATCAATGGCGTCGTCGAGCTCTTTCCTCAACTTTGCCGCTGCTTCAGGCCATTTCGTGAGCAGGAAAATGGTGCTGACGAGAGCGATTGTAGCTGTATCCGAACCAGCAAGCAAAAGAAGGGAGCACTCCGCAACCAGCTCTCCAATTTCCAGGCCCAGGGGTTCGTGGTCTTTGGTCCAGAGTAAGGCCTTGAAGAAATCGTTCAACTCTTTGCCCTCTTTCTCCTTTTCTAGGCGAGTTCGAACCATATGAAGAACGATGGCCGTCCAGTTAGATCCCCCGGTCCAGCCTTCATGCCATGCGGTAAGGCGCTTATTAAGATGGTACAGCGGCGTGTACCACCCAAGAGAAGAACCGATGCGTAGGGATTTGCGCACATCGGAGACAGGATGGACCTCATATACAGTCCCATCAAGCTTCTGAGCCAGCATCATATCATCCCCTCTCTCGACACAACCCAAATGATGGCTGAAGACAAGGTCGCCGGTCATATCAAAGAGGAACAAGTTAATGAACCACGAGACGTCGATGGTCTCTCTAGTGGCAGCTGTCTGATCGAATCTCTTCAGAAGCTTCTGCGTATCCTCGATAACCACGTGCTCCATATCGACGATATTCTTCTGTGCAAAGGCAGCTGCCAAGCGCTTTCGTTTTTCGCCGTGGACCTGTCGATCCGTAGTGTCCAAGCTGCTCTCGTGAGTCCCAGTAAATTGCATGTAGAATTTATCCTTGGTAGCTGGACTGCCATGGCCGTAGATATCCTTGACTGCCTGACGTGAGACGAAGGAGACATGATTTGGGCCGACACGGACGATTTTTCCCAACCGCTTATGAGCTTCGTGGGTAGCTTTTGCTCGATTATGGAACCACTGATGTTTCATCATCCAAAGGTTGGTGAAGCCCGCGATACTAGGAGCACTGAACCGACGAAGCCTTTTAGGGTCCCGGAAATAATCGAATATAGGCCATCCAAAGCCTACTCCGACAACAAACAGGATGGCAACCTCCCATAGTCCAACAACAAGAGCCTGTTGCATGTTTATGGTATCGATATAATGATATGTTGAAGTTGGGTACGCTCGTCAATTTTTGCTGTGGTGCAACTCACGGGTAGCTTCGTAGATGGGAATTGTCGACTTGACCAAGTGCACTAGATATACCTGAGAAAGCGACCTAACCAACTTCTGGTGCCAACCAGGCATAACGGATGGGCTGGGAGTCGTGTGCATGGTGCAATGGTGGGAGATAGGAAATTCTGTGCGATGTCTCAATCCTTCCTTTCCTCTTCATCCGGTGGTCCCTTATGAACATCAGTCATGAGTTCTTCGCCTCATACCGTTCAGGGGAATGTCAGACAGATTCTTCGGGAAATGCGTCCCCCCGCACCCCGCAACCCCACGCCCCGGATGCCAGGAATCATACTCACTTCTAAGGCAAAGTTCTCGCCCTCGCGGTATTCTTCCCATTTGGGATTTGCTTCATGTGACCTCGAGTCCTGAGTCGTCTCGCGCTCCAGAGATGCAAACGTGATATGCTTCCGTTTGCAGCGGTACAGGCAATAATCTCCATCATGTTAGCAAACTTTCCGGGGGTGTATTTTCCGATCGGGGAATTCTTTCCGAGACCTCTTCGCTATCCCGGAGACAGTCGCTCGGGTTCGGACTCGAGATGGAAAATGGCGCTGGGTCGGGTGGCGCGCCGTCCTTGAGCTGGTGTGGAAAATGAAGCTTTGGGACTGTAAATTCAGGTCTGAAGATTCTTGTGTTTATTGTTCGCCCTTCTTGCGTCGTGCTGATTTTCATCCTCGGAGAGATGTTCCATTTCCTTCGTTGCTACCCCAGCTTTACCCCGTGGGGGCACTAGTGTGCCCCACGACATGCACTCGGTACTTTTACCCCACATTTAGAGATGTAAGCCTGCTTGGGGTATGGCGAAATCAGCTTGGGTTACTTCACTAGTATATGGTCCAGAAGCTCCTGAACTCTGGGGGGTTTTCCAGATTCTATTTTTATAACCTGGATTCTTACTCCTCTTCCCCTCTCTGTCTTTTCAGAAGAATCAAAAGGCATCAGTTATACTATCCAACCAGCCGAGCAGAAAGACTTTTACTTCAAGGGAAAAGGACCAGAAGGTTACTACCGAGTCATTTCATATACACTCCACATCCTCCCCGCGTCGAGAAGTGCACGCCTGGAGATAGAATGGCGATTGACGGCGTCCCTGAATCGATGCTGGCATGCCAGATAGTCGAGTATCATAAGCCGCACCAGATCCGCCGGATCCCAACCCCTCAGACCCTGCGCCCCCATGATCTCCTGCTCAAAGTCGCCGTCGCTGCGCTCTGCCACTCCGACCTGGAATACGTGGACGGCACGCTGGATATCCAGCTCCCTGTGACAGCTTCCCACGAGGGCACCGGCGTCGTCGTAGCGAAGGGGAGTGCCATCACTGACTTTGAGATCGGCGATCGTGTTTTGGCGGGCCAGACATATGGCCGGTGCGGCGAGTGCGATGACTGTCAAGGCCCGGAGAACTACCGGCATTATTGCGAGAATAAATATAACATGATGAGTGTGAAGAGGAACGGCGCCTTTCAGGAATATCTCATCGTTGACGCGCTACAATCGACCAAGATCCCGGACGCGATGTCATTCCTGACCGCTGCTCCGCTGGCTTGCGCTGGGGTGACTGCTTGGAGGGGCGTCTTGCAGGCGGAGCTCCAGCCTGGGCAGTGGATCGGTATCATTGGTTCAGGGGGTGGGCTAGGGCATCTGGCTGTTCAATTCGCGAAAGCCAGGGGTCTGAAGGTAATTGGTGTTGATGCACGAGATGATGGTTTGGCGCTCTCGAGGGAGGCGGGCGCAGATATCGTGCTTGATGCGAGGATAGGGAAGGATCGTGTGGTACACGAGGCCTTCAAGGTCACAGGAGGGAAGGGAGCAGATGCCACGGTGAACGTCAGTGATGCAAAGACTGCAGCCGCGACAGCATGTGCAATAACGAGGAAACACGGTACGATGGTTCAGGTTGCTTTGGTATAGTTCGCCCCAGCTCCACAACTGTGCATCGAGTGCTGACAATAAGCCTGTAGGCCCATGAACTGGGTATTCCGTTCGAGGAGTACATTTTCCGTGATATCCGCATAAAGGGGTCCTTTATTTGTTCCCAGAAAGAGACAGAAGAGATGCTGGACGTGGTTGTCAAGCATAACATTAAGGTTACCTCCAGCATCTTTTATGGAATCCAAGAGATACCCAAGATAGTCGAGCTCCTTCGCGAGGGAAAATACCAGGGTAAAGGCGTCGTTGTTATTGATGAAGAGGCAGTGAGGGGTCGACTCTGTCAGGAGAATCGATCCAATCTATGAGTTCCAAGGGTTCATGAGTAAGAACTCAAGAGCTTTTGAACCAGATCTCTGTGACACAAAGAATTATTAACTATCCCCACGTCTTTATATAACTCCCAATATGCCACATCGTGTTTTCTGCAGCTTAGTGCAGTCCTGTGGAAGAATTTATTGGAGGATCTGGGCGTAAGCTCGCGGTGTTAGCAAAAAGTAGAGCAGCGGTAGTCTGAACGGCTATTATGAGCGGCGTGGCGGGGTTCCCGCAGCTATAATCACCTTTTCCCAATGGGCGGTAGTAGCTGTAGGGACAAATAATTCCATCTTGAGTCTTCTCGGTGTTGGGCGCAGAGGTGATTCTTGACCAGCTGTGCTCCAAAAAGAATGTTTTTGACTCGATATTAGAGGCCCTATGGGGCGCGTGAGGAAAATGCGAAAGCTGTTGCAGCGTACGGTATTTTATATATACGAATTGTTGATGGCGGACATTGAGCAAACGAGAGGGAGGTGCAGGGAAATGTACAAATCGACGAAAGCTCCTGTTCAATAGTAGTGGTGGTTACAGCCCCCCTATCTACAGAACCCTTGGCGAGGCACGATCTAGGCTTATCAATACACTGATATTTACAGCTAGAGCTGTACTCCTTCAAGGCTAGGAATATAAATGATAGAGCACGGCTAGTCACGATAAAACATGTGGTAATCTTTGCGTAAGTGTGCACATAATAACTCGCAGTGCCCAATCACACAATTGCACAATTGGCTCTAGTAGAGGCGGGAAAGACGGGTGGTGCAAGACGCAACATTCTCCCGCAAGGTTGTGAGTCTTGAAGAAGCTGCCAACAAGAACTTGGTGATTGGTTCCGAACTTTCGGATACGGTGAGTTCGTAATCAACAAAAGATCCTGAAAGGCAGAGTCAACATCCATGAGATAATAACACTGGAGGAAAAGACAGCAATGACAGCTAAAGCCTCTTGTTCAAATGCTGTGTAGGATGGAGCCACGCCGTGCGCCGTGGCTGAGCTATGAGTCAACCTCCCTATATAGTACAAACTTGTACAAGATAGAGAAAAGACGCATGTAACGTGTGGTTGATAAGCATTGTTGGGACACATTGAAACATTTGGAAGCCCCTCCTGTTGTGTAGACGTAAGGCTGCCCCTTTCTTCTGTCTGTTCCCACTAGACACAAAGCATCAATCTTAGCCTAATCCAGCTCGTACAACTGCACCCTCAACCAGAAGAAGAGGGACTTCAAATGAGACCTAAAGCACGTTGATAAGAAATGGACGATGGGAGTAAAAGCTTAATAACAGGTAAGGTACGTTACTTGGTATCAACTGATATTCGCCGGCGATATCTCCAGCTTTACACACGAGTTCCTAACCGGATTGTAGACGAAGCCATGTACTTCTAAACCCCTCTCGCGGATCGCTTTCATGATACTCGGCTGTTGCATGATCCAATGGACCTCTGCCAGGACGTTCAGCTCCACTAACCGCCGGTCACGCTCCTCCACCCCGCTGCCGTGCCCGAATTTGTCTTCGCTCACTGTCTCCAGATCGTTCAGGCTGCTGTTGAGGGTAGTCAGGAATCTGTCGAGGGTGGGGCCCGCCGCGGTGGGTGCTGGATTGGTACTTACGAGAGCCAGCCCGCGTAGGATTTTATGTCTGAATGAGTGTTGATCAAGCCACAGCCGTAATGTCCGCACACGATAATGTGCTTGACCTGCGAGGATTAGGCCCATGTTTGGTTGGAAACGAAGAGAGGGGTATTGGCAAGATACCTGGATGACCTCAACACAGAGCTCGATTGCACTCAAGCTGCTTGTGTCCCCATTAGACAGCTTGTTGCCCAGGTTCCGATGGACGAAGAACTCTTGACGCGGGACGTTGAGGGTGTCTGTCTCGATGATCTGGCTGTCTGAGCAGCCCACCCATAGGATCTGCTGCTGTGGGGTTTGGAGCGAGGGGATGAAGTCGGGCGGCACAGGAACCGCGGTATAGTCGACGTTTGCGAGAAAGTTCTTCATCTTCAAAGGGATGAATGTTATTTGGTACAAATACTGATTGATGATGTCCCGTCGATATTGGGCTCCTCAAAGAATATTCGAGTGGTTCAACGCAACGTGCGGCTAAGTAATAGGGCTTTCAGCCTAGGGAGGTAAATTTTAGGTTTCTAAAGTGAGCTTCCCACAGACCCCGCCATCACGAGTCGATGGGGGAGGCCCGACGTAGCGGGGGATGGCCCGATTCGGGAAAGGCCAAAAGGTTGTCTAAGGTTTCTAGGATTCTCGCTTTTAACAGTCTGCCATGTGGCCTCACAATTCCGGTGTGATCAGACCATATATCACGCCACTTTATAGTCCCTTCCCGCAAACCATTCCCAAAGGGACACTTTAGTATGCGGCTCCGAGACCAAAGCATTCCCTTTCTTACCCTATCTGGCATGGCGTGGCCAGTCAAACTGCTAGGGCGGCCAGGCACAATCCCCACGATTCCAGACGATCGTTGCGCATTGTCCTGCGGAGACGCCCTATAGGCAAGAGGCGTGAATAGTAATCCACCCGGGCCCAAGGTCAAAATTCCACGGGATGGGCTAGGGAAATGTAGGAAAGCGATCGTGTGCGCTGCGCCCATCTTGAGTCCTATTGCTTAATAGGTATTGATAGGTTTTTGCTTACTCCATGTATATATACACATGTATGCATGTATGTATGTATGTATGTATCTTCCATGGCTCAGACACAAAACAACAGGGTAGGGCGGGAAGTCAGCACTAGTCGCTGCGCCCCCGAAGTAGAAGATTGGTGTGTGGATGATCATGATGATGAGAGATGCGGGGGAATAGAAAAAGGAAAGGAGGTTCGGGGACCAATGAATACTCGCCAGATGAATCGGGATCAGCGTAGCAATCTTACTCTGCACCTGATACATCGGTTTTGCGGTTCTGAATCTATCAGTCTTTCGTTGCCAGAGAAAGCAATCTCGTTCGGGGGTTCAAAGAATATGGAAACAGTTCAGGGGCCCTCTCCTCCATCATAGGTGGACCATGCTATATTCTGGTTTCCAAAGTTTCGTATAGATTATATACCTTAGACAATATCAAATCCCTATCGCCAACCGTGTGGATATCGTTAATCATTATGCGTTACTTCGTGCTGATTCGGCCCACTGCAAACCCGAGGATTTCTCTCACGCCAGCCTTTCTTCCGTGCTTGCGCATCGTATGCACCCAGTTCGAAATTGCCAAGGACAAGAGAACGACAACATTCATAGCTACAACCGCCACGAAGAACTGCCATATGTTCGGGTTCGAATCGCTGCCAGAGATTTCAGAGACGTTCATTCCGTAAACTCCAGACATGATAGTGATAGGTGCAAATCTAAGGGGTCAGAATCAACGGGTCCTAAGAGACAGGGCTGAGACTTACAAGTATGTAAAAGCATTAGTGAGACTGGTCCATCTTGACTCCGACTTGTGCTGAGAGATCGCTGCCATCTTATGCCGAGCCGACCATAGCAGATCGGTTTGATTAACAAGATGCTTGAAGTCCTCCTCTAGTCTTTGTCTGATATCAGCCGTGTGCGCCTCGTCCTGGCCCCTCCACCCTAGGCTCCCGCCCCTCTGAACCATCGCTAACGACTTTTTGATCTCTTCCGTATGTTCAACCGATGTGTCGGAAATACCGTTAATGCGCTGATCCTCTTCTCGGATAGTGGTAATAACCTCACTCCAGCAGAAGCAATTAAGATAAAGAAGATTAGCAATAGTGTAAAATGGAGAGGACGCTGCCTTTTCGAGGTTGACGAATTCGAAGGATTCGAGATACAGCTCGCGGAAGGATTTGGGCTCGAGTATCCTGGGCGAGGGGAGTGCGGATTGAAATGCTGGCGGATCAGTGACGATGCGGGGGGAGAGGGCGATTTTCGTATGCGAGCTGAAGAAGATGATGCCTTGACAGATGGAATGTCAGTACAACCCAGGAAAAGAGTTCATGGTCTTACCAGTCCATCCAGTACCTTGTTCGTCGGGCTCGGGTAGAAGTTAGAGAGCAATCGTAAACCGTGTGAATGTTACTAACCTGAATGTAGACCAAAACTTTGAACCTCTCTGTGTCGGTCTTAGAATGTGTCATTCGGTCCAAGACACCAAAGCCGATACGGATGTAAGGTGCTCGATGTCGTTGCGCAGGCGTGAAAACATGATTCTTGCTATCGATGGCCCAGTTAAAGAACCGGGGATCCAGCCCGAAAGAGCTCCCAAAAGCCTCTATCATGCCCGCAGAAGGGCGACTGCTGTACTCTGCCATGTAGAGTCGCACGTTGACGCCCTCCCGACTCTGATCCTTCGTGAAGCTGCTCAGATCATGTTCGTTGTTGAGATCCGGCCATTGCTTTAGCTTGAAATCGTCTAAGATATCCAAGACCGACACGACAAATGGTTCAGTAGGCGCTGGTCTATCGCTCATGTACTCGTCCAGATCCTGCAAATTAGCCCATCCTGCCCCGAGGAGTTGGTGGACATATTCGTGGTACGGTTTCCGGGCGGGCTGACCCCACTCTGGCTGGAGGACGTGAGCCGTCTTTGCTCTTTTCCGCCATCTTCTCACGGGCTCAGTCTCGGTCTCGGAATAGAGGGCATTGCTCTCGGATTTCTGATCTCTGGGGCGTCTATTTGTTGTTGCAGTTGTGTTGAATGGCACGATCGGAATCCCGACTCAAGGGTTGCGGGGTCGGATATTATCGAGTCGGCTGGAGAAGAAGTCATGACGGCGGCATACGCTTGGCTAAACTATGTGGGCCTCGTCGTGCTATTTAAGAGCGCCAAGCTGACCGTCGCTGATCCCCTGGAACCCCGGAAATAACCCATGTTGGTCATGTTGGTCATGTTGGTGATGTTGGTTGGCCATGCTGGCCAACCATCTTTCTGACTGCGCCTTAATCGTAGACATCCCCCCGTCACCTACACCCCAAATCAAAGTCCAATAAAGAGAAACTCGGCAGCTCAATATAGAACAAGCGTTTCTGGTATTTAAAATATCTGGAATGAGATGTGGAGTATCTATTCTCATTCGACATGGTACGCAAACCAAAGTGATCAAAGTCAGCGGGCCCTTTTCGTCGCACCTAATACGGGATGGCATAACTCATGATGTATTGCAAAAGCAAGTATTCGAGGATGGTTTACAGTTCAGTAGCTTCATTATCCAATCGTAACCAGGAAGGACTTTGGAGACCCATTGACAAAGCCAGATTGATCAACCCCTTCTGAGGCTGGGACATCGTCATAAGGAAACGCGTAGCCTCGCCCATCGATATTCGCTTCGTGAACGAGGCGCGCATAATGGTTCGTGATCTTGTCCTTGTAGTATTGGGAGACCCGTTCGTTGTTGGGGTGAACGTCATTGACCAAGAGAGTCGACCGGTTCAAGCCAGCGCAGATACGGGCCGTCAAGGGGCCCAAAGCTCCCGCATTGCTGGCAAAAGGACCCGTACTGCAGCTAAAAATGTCGGCACTGGATGGTTTTCTAAAAGATCCAATGCCATGGAACTCTAAGCTACCGTTGGAAACCTTGGCAGTCAGTTTGCCCCATTGAGCTTGGGTATCGACAGTGAGAGGCGTTCGACTATACTTCTCCCAGACCTGGTTGACGTAGGAATCGTAGTACCCTTGGAACATGTTACCGTTCATCACAGCGCCATTATTTGGGCTCAGGACCCGCAGTTTCCTTCCTTCTGACTCAAAGATGAGTTTGTGCCAGTCGTTGCCATCAACCAGGTGTTGTGCCTCCAGGCCAGCACATATTGATGCAAGCCCGTCAGGCTTCAAACCAAGAACCTTCTGGACTTCGCCGTCGTGTGGGGTCATGGTCAAGGAGACCGGCAAGCTGACAAAGTCCACATAACTTATATTGGCGTACAGCTGGTTATTAGCGAAAGTAAATTCGCAGAAATCCCACTCAATATGAATATTAGGATCCGAGGGGTTAGTGACCGAAGGCTCGACGATTGCCGGTCCCGGGTTCACCAGAAAGGTCAACTCCTTTCCGATCGAGAACCAGATGCGGCCACCAGCGAGCTGAGGAATGGTGATCCTGGTGATACTGCCCTGGGGACCGAGAGGGATCGAACAGTCTTCCGACAGAGGGGCACAGGTGTGGGATGGCGAGGCGGGGAAGTAGGGGGTCTTGCCATCCGCTCTGATCAGACACACGTGATTCCCGTTGTCGAGTGCTTGTCCCGTGACATAGGCGTAGACTTGACCGGAACTGATCCTGTTCTGGATATCGATGTCCAACGTGGGAGCCATAGGTGAGAGCCGGTAGGTCAGGGAGGATTCTGTAGGATGAGAGTCAGGCAACGAGGGGGTATAACGCATAGAGGGACATACGGAGAGGTCGATGGAGCAAGAAAGAAGGCGGCAACAGGTTACAACAGACGGTGTGATTTAGGACGAGGGGTTGCAAGAATAAGGAAGGCAACCGAAAGAAGGAATGTAAATCAAATATCCATGTATGTGTATGTAATTATGAAAATCTACGTGTAGATATGGATATACATCTATAGGTACACATATACACATATAATACATGGGAGAAGACCTCGAATAGGGGGAGATGTTGGAGAGGAAAGGGGAGCCGAAGCGTGCTGACTCAGCCCCGCGCCATACCGCACTCGTCGCGCGCGGCGAATTCTGTAAAACCTCGCACGCAGTACCGGACAGTACAGGAGCCTGCTATCCTCTCCAACGCAGTCCTTCGGTCGCCTCAACCGACCATCTCGACGACTCCGAACTCGATCATCAACTGTCCATTCGTCGCCCGCGCACTCGGCGCTCCCGCTGCCAACATGGTCTACGACTGGGAGAACAAGGAGGAGATATGTTACCGCATGTACATCGAGGAGAAGAAATCGTTGGAGGAGATCATGGAGTATATGAAAACCGAACACAAGTTCGCTCCCAGGTATGTATGCAGCGCCCAGTAGACGTACTATGTATGTATGGGCACCGCGCCGTACTGGTACCACTACGTTCCCATCCCCTTTCATCCACCACCACCCCCCCAAACTTAAATCTCGTCGTCCGTACTGACTAGACTCGACCTCAGCAAACGGGCCTTTCAGACGCAATTCAAACGATGGGATTTCCCCTCGAAGCAGAATCCCGCGCACAAGAATGCCGCCCTCGTCCAACGCGTCAAAGAGCTATGGGACTGTAATACCTCCCAACGGGAGATGCTTCGCACGCTGAACGAAGAGGGATTCGACATCAAGGAACGCGAGCTCATGCGAGTACGAGCCAAGAATCGATGGCTGTTGCGCGTCCCCAATGGGATGAAATCCAAGAAGAACGATACAGACCAAGAAGTTATCAACCAGCTGCAGCAGGCCTTGTACCCCGACGGACAGCTAGCAGATGCCGAGGGGGAGGACGAGCCCGTGGAGATGTCGATGCCTATGCAACCCACGTCTCGTCCCGTACGAGCTGAATCTCCCCCACTCAGCCCCGAGGTATTGCAGAAGAGACAGGAACGGCTGGCCAAGCTTCAGGCCGAATCCGCAGAGCGCTGGGCTACACGAAAGCGTCGCCGCCGAACTCGTGGCTGGGCCGGTCTGCCCGCTGATCCTCCTGGACCTCCTCGTTTCCCCTCCGAAACCACTATCGATGAGAGCAAGGCTTTCCTGAGTCTCGATAACCGGCTTTATCGCGACATTCGGGCTCGATTCCAGCGTATTTGTGAAGAGGCAGACATCATCAAGAAGACTATTGCAGGTCCCGAGCGATGGGAAGCTGCGAAGGATAGGCTGATCCAGGAAAGTCCACATCTGCAGTCTGTATTCTGGGGGAATGATGACAACCAGGAGGCAAAGAAGCTGGCGCTGGATGTTGTTTGCAGCGATGTTACCAAGAGGATGCGAACACTGGAGCGGCGTATGACAATCGCGGAGGCCAAGAATACCCTTGGCATCAACCCAGAAGAGTCTCGCCAATTGCGCAATGCCTTCTACCAAACCCTCAAAGCGGATCATTTCACAAGCAAGCTCGAAGCCGGCGAGGAACATTGGAAGGAGCTCAAGGCACAATGGATCAACGGTTCCCAGTTGCTGCAGAACATTCTCGCTCCAGGAGATGCTGATCCCCGACACCAGGAGAAGGTCAAGGCCATGGAAGTTCTCTGTAGAGATGTTATGAAGCGCCTTCGCGATGACCAGACGAAGCGCGATCCGACCAGGAAGAAGAAATTCGATTCTAACTACACTGCACCCGAACAATCGATGCAAGCTATGCCACAGCCGATACCACAGCCGATGCCACAGGCTATGCCACAGTTCAACGGCGGAAACGCCAACAATGCTTTTCAACCTACTCATCATAACCTCGTCCAAACCGCAACACGAGCACAGGCTCAATCTCAAGTGGTGCAGTCTCAGCCTCAGGCCCGTCCCCAGGCTCAAGCACATCAAGTGCAACAGCCGCCACCGCATCCACAGCAACACCCACAGGTCATGATGGATCATGGAAATATGCAAATTGATCCTTCGCTACTCCTTGCCGCTGCAAATGACCCATCACTGATGAACCGAGGCATGCAGAACATGCAGAATCAGTTCGCCGAGCAGCAATATGCTGATCAGCAGTACGCTGCCCAAGCTGCGCAGGCCGACTTTCCTCCTTCACCATCATCGATCGCCGTCTATTTCCGGTTACATCCTGCTTCGGATGTTCAATCGAATTCTCGGCTGTGGGTGAGCACACTCAGCATGGCTTCAGTGGATGAATTACGACAGTTGGCGTCGGTCAAATTCCCGGGGACGATCGCTATCCGCATCGAAGGTGTCATCAAGCAACCAAACGGACATGAGATGACCCTGCCGATCGATTCTGATGAGGAGTTGGAGGCTTACTTGGCGGCCATCAGCGGCGTGAAGCCTATTTTCACCGTTCAGCTGGTGGCTGCATGGAAGAACGGGTAGTTTTGCGATTGGAGGTTGCCAGTTTTGGGTTTATTGTGAGAGTACATTCTAGCCGGATTCGTGCCTTGTTATTGCTACCATGGAAGATGGATTACTTGGCGGTGTTAGATTGGTGGCGTCCGAGGTGTTGCTGATGGGATGCTTCTTTTGCCAGGGAGCGGCTTTGAGCTTCAGTGCTATTTTTGTTAATGCGAAGTCGGCGCATAGCTAGGTATACTACTTTCACACAAGATGAATAATGGAGAGAATCAAAGATTCCGAGGTTTAAAACAACAAGTCCTTGAGCAATGGAACCCAAGCCCCGTAATTCATCATTGACATTGATCGTTGCGTGAAGATTATGCAGCGGGTGGCCATTGGACAGAAATGCCGTGCTTGACGTGCAGGGTGTGATGTGGGGAAGCGGCCGTCTAACCCGGCTGAGTTGAGTTGAGTTGAGTTCCTACTGGCAGACAGCTCCAACATCCCCAAAGATCCCCAACATCACGACGCACGAGTCTCGGCGTGCTTGAGGTCCTCTCCAGTGTTTTCAGGGTAATTGATTGCATACTTGGAGGGCACGATGCCGTTCCCCAGACGCGCGCCTGCTGCACCCAGAGCTCTGCTCTCCCCTCTGACTCGCACCTCTGCGGCTGCACATCTGCGACCTGCTGTCGCGCGACAGGTGAGATGGGAGACGACTGAGAAGAAACGTCCCGAGGAGGGCCGCTCGTTCAAAGGGCAGCTGTACCAAAGTACGGCGTTGCGATTGCAAAAGGAGCGCGAGGACCGAGAGAGATTTGCAAAGCAGAGGAACGAGGGCGCTGGGGGGAGAAATGCGGCATTGACGTTTGGTTCGTCCCCTCCCACCTTTGCCAGTGCTCGAGATGTGTCGGTCGGTACTGATGTGCTTCTTCTGCAGTTATCTTCACAACTGGCCTGGTGGGCTACTACCTAGGGTCGACCAGCTACCCTGCTCCGTCGACCGCCTCAACGACACCGCTCTCGACAATTTCTGCTCCAAGACACGATGTGTCAGGCGCGAATCTGGAGGCTGCCTGGGCGGATTTTGTTGCGATTGTCGGCAAGGAGCATGTCAGTACTACCCCGACGGATCTGGCGGATCATTCTGGTAGCGAGTGGTCATCACACATCTCGGAGGGAGAGAGGCCGTTCCTGGTTGTGTATCCCGAGACGACAGAGCAAGTGAGTGAAATAATGAAGGTCTGTCATCGTCGACGGATCCCCGTAACGGGATACAGCGGGGGGACCAGCTTGGAAGGGCACTTCGCGCCGACGCGTGGAGGGATCTCGATCGATTTCGGCCGCATGGACAAGATTCTGGCGCTGCACAGGGACGATATGGATGTAGTGGTGCAGCCTGCGGTGGGCTGGGAAGCGCTGAACGAGGAGCTGGGCCAGAGCAACCTGTTCTTCCCGCCGGACCCAGGACCCGGGGCGATGATTGGAGGGATGGTTGGCACGGGCTGCAGTGGCACGAATGCTTACCGGTATGGGACAATGAGGGAGTGGGTGCTCAGCCTCACGGTTGTGCTTGCTGATGGGACTATTATCAAGACGAGGCAGAGACCGCGGAAGAGTAGCGCGGGGTACGATCTGACGAAGATGTTCATTGGGAGCGAGGGCACGTTGGGATTGGTTACGGAGGCTACATTGAAGGTGACTACGAAACCAAACACGACTTCGGTAGCTGTCTGCAGCTTCGGCAGCATCAAGCAGGCGGCGGATTGCGTGGGCAAGGTAGTCAACAAGGGGATCCCGATCGCGGCGATTGAGCTCCTGGATGACAACCAGATGAAGTGCATCAACAGTTCAGGAATGACGGACAGGAAATGGACGGAGGCGCCATCTCTGTTCTTCAAATTCGCCGGCACGCCCTCGGCTGTCAAGGAGCAGGTCGGCATGGTCCAGAAGCTGGCGCAGGAGACGGGGAGCAAGACGTTCGAGTTTGCAAAGAACGATAACGAGCAGAACGAGCTCTGGAGTGCGAGGAAGGAGGCCTTGTGGAGCATGATGGCCATGAAGCAGGATAGCACGGATCACGTGTGGACGGGCGATGTGGCCGTTCCCATCAGCAGGTTACCGGATATCATCAACGAGACGAAGGATGACCTGACGAAGAGCGGATTGTTCGGATCTATCGTGGGGCATGTCGGAGATGGGAATTTCCACGGTGAGCAGCTTCACCCAGCAGCTTCACCCCTGTTTAAATCATACTAACATAGGTAGCGATCCTGTTATACAACGACAAACAGCGCAAGACGGCGGAGGATGTGGTTCACCGGATGATCAAGAGGGCCATCGCGATGGAGGGGACGGTTACGGGAGAGCACGGCGTGGGGTTGGTGAAGCGGGATTACCTAGACCACGAGCTGGGCGAGACGACGGTGGATGCCATGCGGCAGGTACGTATTCTTTGACGGCTGTTTCTGGTCCTGAAACATTGCTTACGATTTCTAGCTCAAACTGGCTTTCGACCCGCTGTGTCTGCTGAACCCGGATAAGGTGGTCCGAGTCGAGAAGCCGAAAGCTGGGGAGATCGCGGAGTGGTGATGTTGGCTGTATTGTAGAGGCGTGCATGGAATATAGATATAATCTTACCTGTGATCCTGTCGCCCATGTCTTCTGATTTGATATCCCAGCTACCTAGAGTATTTCCTGAGTATATGAAAAGTAACGTAAGTTGGAATAGAAAATCTAATGATCGCCAGACCTACATCTATCGCGTCCCCTCCCCTATCTCAGATCCTTTCTCTGTCCCTAGGTGAATCTACTATGCCCTCCTTTTCTTTTTCTCTCCTCCTTCAAGGACTCCCTAAAAATCTCTTATCTATCTTCTCTTTACCCCTTACTATTTTTTATCTTTACCCTTACCTACCTACCTACTATCCCGATCTTAAAACCATCAATTCTCAAAACTTCCAATCCTATCCATCTACCTACCTACCTACCCATCCCCCTTAGCCTTCAAAGAACCAAAACTTAAACCTAAAGCTTAATGAGAAGCTACTTATTTTCCCTTTCTTTTCTGTCTGTCGTGATTCCGTCGTTACATATCTACCTTACCTACCTTTAATCTTCGGATTTAATAGCTACCTTAGGTAAGGTATTCTCTATTTCCAGTTCTACATCTCGCATAACTACCTATTTTCTCTGGGCCAGCTCCCTATGGGCGGCACGGGAAATGGAATTGTAAGGTAAGGTAAGGTAGGGGAGAATGGGGAATCTAAGGATCGATAGGATTCCCATCTACCTTATCTATCTATCACGACCCAACCCCACATCCCTATTCCTTTCACCATCCCCCCATCCCAAAACATTCGGAAAAAATAAAATTACGATAAAAAAAATAAAATCGAGTCCTGAGAGGAAAAGCCATCATTTATTGTTTCCCTACAAATATTTATTTCTCAGTTCGGTGTGCGGCGTAGAATCAATCCCTTGATTCCCTTTTTCCCCTTCCAGCCAAAAAAATTCCAAACTCCCCCCCCCCCCTCCCAGCTCCCCTACCGCATCAAAGAAAAAGGAAAAGAAAAAAAAAGAAAAAAGAAGAAACAAGCTGCTTCCACGCGGATTCGAACCGCGGAATCTTCGCATTTGGGATGCCAAGAGTGGTATACAAGTGCGACGCGTTACCACTGCGCCATAGAAGCGAAGCTTGTAGCTCGTGTTGGTTGGTTGTGAGACAAAAGGGGGATTGGGATATTTAAAGCTTCGCTTACATAGATGCGAAATCTATCTAGAGTAGGTATTGATATGGAGTGGGTAGAGTAGGCAGAGATGCTTGCTTGGTAGAAGATAATATGTGAGGGGGGTGGGTGTGATTATGGGAAAGAATGAAGAGAAGGATGATTAATGGATGGATGGGGATGAGGATTTTGGTATGCACACAGATGCACAATAACGACCTCCTATCTCCTACTTTCCTTGAAAGGAAAACATAAACCTATATCTGCAGTAGAAGGGGCTTATACTTACCATTCATAAAAGATGATCGATAATGTGTTAGTCCCCCAAATATATACGCACATTGATATAGAATCAGATATCGATGAAAGCGCACCGATCAGTAGACGAAGAGAAGAGAAGATGAATTTCCATTCTGTTATTATCAAAATGTCACGCAAACCCCATCATCAAAAGCAAACTCTCCCCTAACTAAAAGAATGTATATGTAGCGATCCTTAAACAGCTCAACCAACCCCCCTTAGCAATCTCCCCAACCACCACACCATATCATCAAAACCCCCTAAAACATCATCCTCATCAACCGACTCGTCGCGTCTGGATTCCCGCCAACCACCGACTGGTAGCCGACCTGTGGGTAGAAGAAGGCCGCCACGGCGATAATAACATAAGCCGCGCACAACAAGGCGCCTTCGAGGTAATTTGACCTCCCGTCCAGAACGAGGAAGTTGACGATGAAGGCGCTGACAAAGAGGGAGACGGTTTCGAAGAGGGTGAAGTATAAGGACATATCTTTGGACATGCACCAGCCGAGGAGGACGATGAAGGGGGTGACGAAGAGGGCTGGGAGGTTAGTAAATCAAATTTCCTAGATGAAGAAGACGACATACCGATCTGGATGGAGGAGCCGACGGCTACGCCAATCGCTAAATCCAGTTTATTTTTGCTGGCGACGGTGACAGCCGTAACGTGCTCCGCGGCGTTGCCAACAATAGGAAGGATGATCAACCCGATGAAAGCCTCGCTCAGTCCCGAGTTGCCTGACACCACGGCGTTGATACTATCCACCATGAATTCAGCACAGACGGCTACCAGTCCTGTCGAGATGAGTAAGAGCAAGACAGCGGTCGTGCGGGAGATGTTCTCCTCATCAGACCCTGCTGGCTTTTCTGCTATGACAGCTGGGATGTGCGCAGGCTGGACACTGGTGACGCGAGTGGCTGGACCGGAATACGTCTGGTTGAGTCGATCCGGGAGAGAATTCGTACGTCGGATCCCATACTTGACACGTGGAATTGGTCCACCAGTGGGAGCTGGTGGATCTGGCGCCGGTTGCATGAAGACATTTTGAGAGAACGTCTTTGGAATCTGGGGCCGGATTGAGCTGATGTTGCGCAAATTAAAAGCTCGTTTCTGGGACGAGTCTGTTGCTGGTTCCGTGTCCTCGGCGATATCAAAGTCGACATGTCGGGGCTCATCAACAGTTTCCTCGGGTTTCTTCTCGGTGGAAGTGCTCAGGACGATGCCTTCGTTGATGGTCTCCCCACTCCGTTGAGCCTTCTTACGCTCTCTCTTCTCTCTCCTCTCCCTGCGCTTTCGGTCCCGCTTCCGCTCCTTCGTCAGAGCACTAATGATTGAGTTCTTGCGGCTTCGACGTCCCTTCTCTCCCCCCTCGTCATCACCATCTTCAGCGAAGTCGATGGATCCAAGACGTTGTCCCCCCTCATGACCAAGCGAGTGCGGTGATTCAACTGCGTCGGTGTGATCTGGAGAGATAGAGCCTGTTCCTAGAGAGAGCGACCTGACTGCATCAACATCGGCCGTATCTTTCGAGCATGAACTCGATTTGCGACGACGCCGTCCAGCTAAAACTCTCCGAAGACGTTTAACCGTGGTATTTGAGCTACTTGACCGGTCGGAATCGGAATCCGAGGATTCCGATCCGTCAGAGGACTCCATCCACTGAGCAACGGGACCTGGGACAGATTCTTCGTCGATGATATGTTGCGGGGTGCTCACATACATGTAGGCATGTGACTTCAGTTGAAAGAGGAGGTACATCCCATAGACGATGAGGAGAATCTACGTTGTTAGCAATGATCTCAAGAAATGGATTAGGACATACCACGCTGGTTCCCCGGCTGACTTTCAGTACGGAATTTGTAGCTTTCTTCTCCTGGTCGCTGTTGAACGAAGCATGGAAGGCGGTCTGAGGGGATTAGTACTTGACGCCCACGCCTGCCGACGACACCTACCGGAAGCAAGAGACTCATGACACTCAAACTAAGTAAACATGCACTCATCTGCGTGACCGTGCTATTGTAGATCTATAAGGGTCAGCGGCGCACCCGGCAGCGTGCAAGAAACATGCCTGTTCGCGGAAACGAAGCCCCCCGATCAAGAAACACATTCCTAGAATCAAAAGCAAGTTGGCAAGGATCGAACCGAGCAGTGAAGCCTGGACGATACGGATTTCATTCTGGGAGAGTCAGCGGGGTCCGAGAAGATGCGAACGAGGGTCACACCTTTTGGAGGGCAATGCTATTCGGTTAGAAGATAACAACAGTGAGCATAAGTCTTGTAAGATCACGGACAGCTAGCATGGGGGAGGGGAGCAGAGGAGAGGGACGGATGATTTGGGACTCGATTGATATGATAATGCCTTTAAGAGGGCTTCTCGCTCTTTCTTGTCTTCATCTCTTATGAGGTAGACATACATGCTTGGGGGGTTAATCAGCGGGAGGTCCATCAAGAGGCGGGACGCAAACATACAATATGATAAGTTCCACAGCATTGCCAAAGGTCACGTTCATCAGCGCCCCCACCGTATCGCCCATCCTCTTGGCCACGCTCTCGGTGGCATGGCTGAGGAGGCCCGCCAACGGGATGATGGCTACGGCGTTCAGCCCAAAGACAATGCCCGGTTTGAGCCCGGCGGCCTTTGCTGCAATTCCGACCGGGACAAGTACCAGCAGCAGGTTGATATAACTCGAGAGTATGATGGATTTGGCCGTGAGCCAAAACCTGACGGCAATATTCTTCTTCTTCTTGTTGGGCTGCTCGTCTTCTACGACAGGCCCCTGCCCCTCAGCTTGCGGAGGTGGAGCGGGCGGCGGGTTATCGGGCGATGTCTGGTCTGCCACATGGTTGGCGGTAGGATTCGCGGCCAGGGGCGCGATGCCGTCGAGCTGGCAGGTCGCAGGCAGGACGGTCTGGTGTGCATCTTCGTGGTGTACATGGTGGTTGTTTAAGGGGAGAGTCGGAGGTCGGCTCTTGTCTTTGGAGAATGGAGAGAGGCCATACGCTTTGGATGATGCCCAAGAGCGGATGCGAAATATATACGAGTCCGAGGCCGGTGAAGCTTCCTTCATCGGTGTAGAAGCAGGTCAATGGAGATGAAGTAAAGCTTGAATGAAGCTGGATGGAAGTTAGATGGAGGGGGGGGAGAGGGGGGAGGGAGAGAGATGGAGGAGGGATGGAGGGATGAGGAGGGATGAGGGAGAGATGATGGATGTTCGCCAGACCGAAGGGGGAACGCTCGATAGAAGATAAAGGACAGCCAACCAACTCTACATCAGCCTCGCCAATACCCAAAAGTGGTCATGATAGACGAAAGGGGAGTTGTCGATTGGATTATCATCGTTGTAATCATTGTGCTATGTGGAGATCATCCAGATACGTACCCGGCAGGGCGAGACAAGGCGGTTTGCTTGACATTATTGCTTCACAGTTGACCCAGGAGAGAGACTATATGAGATAATGGGCCCCTCTCTATGATGAGCCAGCAAGTCAATCATCCCAGCCGGTCTCCGATCCCCTATGTCAATCCATCTCCATCTCCACGTCTATCACCGTGTCCATCACCATCGACTCAGAGTCTCAGACCCTCGCGGATTCCCGCGTATTAACCCCAGTAAATCACTCCCGCCAAGCACCTCTCCCTCGTATCTCCAATCATCCTGCGCTGCCAAGTGTCAAGGGGCGCGTAGGGCGGACGACTCGTCCAGGTTCCTTGATTCTTTCTGTTTCTTCTTCTCCGTTGTCTTACATTCATCATCGTTCATCATCATGATGATCCAAGATCTTTCCGCTTTGTGTTTAGAGAGGCCCACCCCGGACGCGCTCTGGTGTGGCTGAGTACGGTGGCTGATGCACCGCCACACGTATGGGGCTTGAGAGCTACCTGTCTGGGGCCACGTGATGAGGAGGGAGCTTGGATCGATATAAAAACACAGAACCTAATACATTTCTATCACTCTTCTTCTTACACTCTACGAGTGTTCAAACTCCACAATCATTTATTAAGGAAGGAAAAATAACGACTAGACTCGAGGCCAACTTCCAGGAAGCACATGGTGCACCAGAGACAGAACGAATGGTAGGTACATGGTGAGAGGACGAGGAATCTCGTGGAGGGTGGTTTGCCGTGTGCAGATAGTGTCCTTGATGAGAGATCCCAAATAAGCCTTGCTTCCCTTCGAAAGAGTTTGTCCACGCTTCTGTCGCTGCTCTGGACAGGTGCTCCCCTCTGAAGCATCGTCGCCCTCCCTCCAGCTGTCCACAGCATCCTCTGCGTAATTGTGGTCATGTTCTTGGCCGCCGCCGTGGGTAGCAGGTTGGTTTCCCAGAATGCTTGGTCTCTGTCGAATACCCAAAGCCGTTGAGGCATCTTCAGTTCCTACAGAGAATTGACTGTCGTTCCAGGAGCTGGATAATGTGGCCTCATTTCCACAACCGGTCTCTGTTTCAATAAATAGCTCCTCTTGCAAAGACGGAGAACTGATGCTCGGAATAGGTTGCTTGGGTATGTTTTCATTTCTGGGACTTGAGGATGTGAATCTTCACGACATCCCACTAAAGTCAGTGACTTCTCTCCCAAAACTACCCGCATTTTGGAGATTACTGGCCATATGCGTGTAGAGCAAGAGTGCCAGCTCCATCAAAGGTCTCGTTACAACCCCGAATAAAGCATTCAGAGACCTGCTCTTGGTGATTGAGCCGATCTTGCCTAGGAGCATATCGGTACTGTAACTCACATCAAGGTTTTCGATGTAACTTTGTTGTACCTAGGTAGGTAAAATACCTAGAAGTTTCTGGGACAGTGGATGACTGAGAGGGTATCAATTACCTCACCTGACTACGGGTATAAACAGACGTACCCATAGGGCCTGGCGTTTTTCAGAAATGAAGGAAAGATCACCCGCTTCTTTTCTACTCCCTTCTTGATATATTTTCGGTAGACCCCCAAAACTTTCTCTGGGAGTGGCGCTAGAAAATTTTTGAACAGGTTTCAGAACATTACCATCGCCTTCCATGCAGGCGTGGAATACGTGCACATCCTCAGAACTGTATGGGTCAAAGGTCACAGTTTTCTGTGGGAGGCGGCTGGCATCAGCGGTTCCCATTGCCTTGATATCTGGTAGTACTTCTGTCAACTTCGGTTGCTCACTAGGTACTTATGGCGCTTGATGGGTCTGGGTTGCCAGAGACACGTGACGATGGTGCAGTGCTTGTTCCAGGATGTCTTCTGGTGGACTGGCATCTTCGATGTTGAAGCGTGCCGCCTGTTTTCTCATTTGAATCATCGCCTGTCGTTCTTTCTCGTTTGAATCTCCTTTGCTATTATTACCTGAGGACTTCCCGGGATGGCCTCGGCCGCATCTTCAACAAGGCTCTAAACCCCGCCCCTTTTTCATTGTTTCTCTGTACCCCTTTACACAGGCTATCAAGAGATTAGTTGATTGGCATATCTATATATCTAGTTTAAATAACTCTTGATCAAAAACAAACACCTAACCCCTATGTAAATAGAAATTCATACATTTACTTATCTTATCGGGTTATCCTCTATCTATATTCTACTCTACAATTTGTTTGTTCTTGGTCATCTAACTCCTCCTACTTATGGAATATAATATAATCCTGACCTAGTTTGGTTTATCGTCTCCTAGGAACCTCTTATATAATCTTGTCTTTTACCCTTTTTGTAGAATAAAGAATGTTAATAGTGATTGTTGTGTTGTGTTTGGAAGTATATAGACACTTATCTCCTTTTTTAGTTACCTAGGGAGAGGTTTGGGGGGTTGGTTGGCTTATTGCTTTTTGATGTAGTTCTACTTCTTGGCTACGCTACGTAGTTTTGATCAAGTTAAGCATAGAATGAGGCAGCTGGAAGTCTTCTTTCTACATTTATGTAATGACAACCCTACGAACTACCAACCACACCCTCCACAATCCTCCCCACCTCGACCCCAAACTCCCTAATGGCCGCGCGTTCCGCCTCTCCAAAATCCAATCCAGAAACCTTCCTCTCCAACTCCTCCCTCCTCCCCACCAACTCCCTTGCCACCTCTCTCCATCCCACCATCCCCTCCCTCCCCGCCCACTCCCCCTTCCCCACATCTACAGCCTCCAACATCCAATCCCGCTTCCTCACCTCCCCGCCCACCATCACCATCTCCAGATCCGCAGGGCTACTATGCAGCACCAGAGCCGCGACCGGGTCATGCTGCGCTGCACAGACCATGCTCGAGCTCAGCGCGTCAAAGACTAGGATATCAGCGTACTTCCCCACTGCGAGGCTCCCGATCTTATCATGCATGCCGATAGCGCGCGCTCCGTTTATGGTCCCGAGGTTGAAGGCTTCCTCGGCCGTGCGGTTCACCTTCCGCGGGACATTCCCCGCGTCCACGAACGGTTGGTTGAAGACGGCGCGCGCGTTCTGCAGGAGCAGACGCATCTCCGATACGAGCGAGGCGCTGTTGTTGGAGTGGCAGTCGGCGCCGAGAGAGCAGTTGCGCTGGATGCGAAGCGCGGGGTCGAAGGCGACGGGATACCCCATGGCCATTTGGAGTTCGGTCGACGGCGTGCAGGAGGCGTGGCTGTTGGACTCGAGGAGCAGCTTTGCGCAGTTAGGGGACGGGTTCGAGAAGTGCGCGAATAGGATGGAGGAATCGAGGAGCCCGTAGCTCTTCAGTAACTCGGGGATGGAATCCTGTCCTAGAGCGAGAGCGAGAGCGGGTCAGTGGGTAATGTCTGAGGGGAGGGGGGAAGGGGAGGGAAGGACCGAAGACTACGCCGCGCACGACATGCGTAGTGATGACTCTTATGCCCAGCGCCTTCACCTTCTGGAAGAGGGAGATGACCGTTTCTTTCGGGAGGAAGAAGCCGTCGAAGGCGAACCCGAGCTCAATCCGTCCGTCCCCAAAGGGAGACGCGGCGGCGAGGCGCTCGAGGCTGCTCATCACCCAGCCCGCGAGCAGGTCGTGGTTCATGACGAGCGGGTTCCAGGAGTCGATCCGCGGCGTTGGGCAGTAGCAGAAGACGGATCTGATGCCGGATGCGATCGTGGCGGCGATGGCTGCATTTGCTTCAAGGACGTGAGTTGGGGTCATGAAGATATGGGAACAGACCTACTGTGCTCAGGAGAGTAGTTGATATGGGCGAAGTCTACGACGGTCGTGGTGCCTACATCAAGACACTCCATGGCACCGCCAAGCTGGCCCCAGAAGATATCCGCCGGGCTATGGAGGGAGGAAGTAAAGTTTCCTGTCCATGTCAATTAGCATGTATGACAGATGTCCAGAGATCGACTTGCCGGTTGGCATATAGTCGAGAAGTAGATGGTTAGCATGGCGTCCTTTGAGCAGCGTTTGCCAGAGATGGTGGTGAGTATCAACGAAGCCGGGAGAGAGGATCTTGTCAGTACAGTCGATGACTTCAGCACCCTCGGGGGGGATTATGCCTTTCTCAATCTTGCTGATGATGTTTCCTTGGATCAAAATGTCGGCCTTGATGGGATGCACATGGTCATCAGCATCGTGGGTGAGGACAGTGCCTCCTCGGAGTAGCTTTGATGTGGAAGGCATTGTAGTATCGACTTCGATATTATATACACTCAAAACTTTTCTCTGCAGCAGCGAATACAAAACAAAACAAAACCACAACAGAGAAGGATATATAAAGATATATATATGAATGACGGGCACTCGTTCCCCACGGAGATAAGAGAGATGTGGTGTGCTTTTCCATCTCGGCCGGACTCTTTCTCCGCATATCTCCTCCTCCGCATCCGCCCCCGCCACGACGTCTCTCCTCGACTTCTTGACTGGTTGACTTGCCCATAAGACTTGACATTTATACATTCAGATACCTATTGAGCTCTCTGGCAATCTGTCGCTGTATTCTATCTGGATCCTGCCATATCCCCCTCGCGCTTACACTCACCCTCTCTTGAGCAAACCTAGCTATGCCAGGCAGAAAGCAAAACATGCGCCCCGCACTGCAGACAAAGGAAAATGAGAAGAGAATCCAGTCAGAACGAAAGGAAAATATAGTTACGTTATTACAAGTCTGAGCTAATGCCTGTCTTCCTCTGGCTCTCTCCCGCGCTCGGCTCCATCCTCTCCTTCAAGTTCAAATCCATACAAGTTTCCATACAAGTAACATATAACTCCAAGAGCGCCTTGCCTTTTTGCGCCGTTTGCTCTGCTTCTGCTTCCCCATTCTTGCTTGGCGTCCTACCAAAGACAACATGCCACCTGCTTCAGGAACTGATTATAATCCAACGCTCAATATCGATGTCCCATTGTAACTTGATAAATATGGATGCCTGTCTTCCATCTTCAGCACCCACCTGATATCTAATCCCCCCGATCTCTTCCTCTTCTCCTGAAGAAATCCATGACCTTTCTCGCCGCCCCAGAGCTCCCCGCATGGTCAATGTGTGGTGGGCCTCCCCACCCACTGTTGTCCTGCGTTTCATAAGCCTCGACGAACTTCCGGTTGTTCTTCTGAAGCACGCCGCCCCTTCCGCTCGATCCTGTTCGGCCAACGGGTCTCCGATCATCGTAATCGCTGAAGCCGGGTGGGTATTGGCCTCGTCGATTTCCAGTTTCCTGCAAGCTGGATTCGGACCCAGTGGCCTGGGTCGGTTGGTCCTGACGGAAGTTCAGTGGTGGGAGAAATTGTGTAGGTGCGCCGGAGCGATGGTCTTGGATCGGTTGCGAAGCATACCGTTGGTGTTGTTGGGGCGGACTGGCAGTGGAGGTGCCTCTGCGGTCTTGTACTGGGTTCTGGTCATAGGCATCCGCTGAGTATGAATCAGTGGTGTTGCCGCTGACGGTCCGGGCTTGTTGAGAGTGTTGTGACATGGGCGGATCCATGTAGTTGCCGCGACTATCTGGACGCTGTTCGTATTCTTTGCCAATACCAATCGACTTCAGAGAGAAGGAGGCTGGAAGCAGGGAGAATCTCCTGTTGTTGGGCCTCTCATGAAGATTGGTTTGGGAACCGGAAATACTACCACTTCTCTTCCTGCCAAACCCGAAAGATATTGAGCGGCGAGAATCCATGGACTGTCGGGGAGGGTCCATAGACATTCCAGATCCAGACATGCTCACGGGCGGATATTTCTTATTAGGCTTCTCCTGCTCAGCATTTCGTTTAGATCCAAACATCGAATTCGTCCTACTGAAGATGCTGCCAATCGTGTTCGATCGCTTGTGGCCTCTCGTCTCGGGTTGTGAACCAGCAACGCGAGTGTATTGACCTGGTGCTGAAGAAGGCTGGCCATATTCAGACTCTCCTTGTATGATTGGAGCGGAAATCTCGTAGCCTCTGACATTTTTGGGTTGAGACATACGGCCTTGAGCATTAGTGCCAGCAACGGTGGGTGCTGCTGGTTGGCTATATGAACCACGGTGGGGAAGGGCCCCTGATCTGCTCCCAGTGGATGCCAGGGATCCTCCGGTAGCTGGTCTGGTCATGGAGACGGGTGGAGCTCCAGACATGTAGTTCGTGTCGGAGACTGATCGAGGTGGGTCGCGTCCAGGCCGGGCTGGAGGAGGCATACCTTGTTGACGTTGAGAGGTCGATGGTCGTCGGCCTTGAGAGTATTGACCATCTCTCGAGGCCGATGGTTCCTGGGGCAGGGGCTTTTCCGTGGATGGAGCTCTCCTTGATCCAGCAGGGGCACTGCTCACAGGCTGGACCTCTACTGGTCCCTGGCTTCCAGCACGAGCACGAGTTCTTGAGTTGGCTTGTGTAGTTGCTGTAACAGACTCTCCGCGTTGAGTCTGCGACCGTGGAGGAACATATTCAACCTGTACAGTTCTCCGCTTGTTATCTTTGGCGACCTTTTGGTGCGCATCTGCTCCTTCTTGGTCCACATTCCCATGTTTCCGACTGAGATCACCCACAGCCGTCGGCGTCTTGGCCTTGGAGGGCTCCCTAACCGAAGCACTTCTTGCCAGCAGTGGTGCCTCTTGTTGATCCTCCACCTCAATTGCTGTCTTGGCAATGTCTCCCGACGTGGTCGTGCTGCTTGTAATGAACCCAACCACATGAGCGTACTCACTCAACCAGCTGTGTCTTGCAACCTCGAAGAGATCCGCCCGCTTCCTTGGGTCGGGGACGAGTATCCGACGGAGAAGATCTCGCGCGTGGGGGGTTACATATTCGGGAAACGTCAAGGGGGTCGAGACAATATACTTGTAAAGCAGATTGATGTTGTCGCCTTCAGGGTTGGCTGGGTCATCGTCAAAAGGTAGGTATCCTGCCAACATAGCGTACTAACACATATCAGCAAGATCACTCTTAAGTTTAGGTATCCCGACTTACCAAAATAACACCACAGCTCCACACATCGACCTTGCGGCCGGTATACAGAGAGTCGCTGACCACCAATTCAGGAGCGGCATAGCAAGGACTTCCGCAGCTCGTCTGCATCAGGTCGCCTCTCCGGTATCCGCCCGGGAGGATCTTGTCCAGCTCCATCCGCTTCACGTACTCCCGACTAGACAGGTTATACTCGATTTCCTCACCTAGCTCGTCCTCCGGGTTGAAGGTGTTCGCAAACCCAAAGTCAGTGATAATTATATTCCGGTTGCGATCAAGCAGGAGATTCTCCAGCTTGAGGTCTCGGTGCACGATACCCTTCTTGTGTAGATATCCAACCCCGGACACCAATTGTGCAAACAGTCGTCGAGCAGCGTTGTCCTTCAGATACCGGTGGTTGAGAATGTAGTCAAAAAGCTCTCCGCCGGAGGCATACTCGAGGATTATACCAATCTGCTTTTCCGTCTCGACCATCTCGTGCAAACGAACGATATTCGGATGGGATATCTCTCGGAGGATGGCGATCTCGCGGTAGATCTTGGCGAGTCTCGTCGGGTTCGTGCCCACACTGTCACGGCGTATAAGCTTGATGGCGACCTAGACAGGCGTTAGTTAATCATAGTGAGAGCTTCTGAAAAATCAGCTTACTTGAATGCCGCCCTCCTGCTTCCACCCCATCTTAACCTTGCCGAATTCTCCCTCTCCCAGTGTATTGCCTAGGTAATACTCCCCAAATCTGCTGTTCTTCTCCCGCTTGCCCGAAGAGACTGCATGATCGTGTCGGCTCCGTGGACCCCGACCACTGCCCTCAAGATCTTCGGGGCTCACAACACTCACCGTACCAATCGGGGAGCGGTGCGAGGCGGATGCTGGTGAGGCTTCTGCCATGCGTGCGCGTTCTCGTTCGACGTCTACTTCGGGTTTGCTGACAATCACGCGATGCAAGATCTCGCTGGCCTCTCTCGACAATTTGCTAGGTGTTGATGAGTTGCCTGCTGCTACGGGTCGTCGGTCCTGGGGAGTAGAAGCTGAGTTGGAAGCTCTCGGTTCTGGGCTCGAACTTGGCCGATGCGATAAGACTTCCTGTGGTGAATCTGCGGCTCGTCGTCTAGCTCTGGCAGCGGCGTTGGCGGCAGCAGCAGCATCATCAGCTCCTCTGTCGGCCCCATTGACCTGTGTGTTGCCATTGCTCCTTTGTCTCTCTACCCGATCCCGCTGGCCATCGGTTGTCGCCCGTGGTGAGCCGGTGGACTCATTAGTGTGACCTGCTCTCCTCGCAGACCGATCGGCTGCAGAAGCAGCAGCATTAGCGGGATTCCGGTTCGAGGAAGTGCGTGGTGAGACGACAGGAGGCACACCACGTTGATGATCCCCTGGTGCCATCACCGGATATCCTGCTGTAGCGGCGGTCGTTGATGTTTGAGAGGCGTGGACGCGTGAAGAGGTCGAGGCTTGCGTGTTGGCCGAGGGCGGATAGTATTGCGATGATTGAGAATTATTATTGTTCGTAGACGCGCCATTGCCGCTGGATTGTCGCGATGGCCGACGTGTTGCAGTAGGCGACGCGTTTGTCGGGCTCTGATTGTAGTAGGGATCTCTCGAGTGAGACGAACCCGCGGTGTAGGGCCTGTTGGAGGCGGTGGCCACGACAGGAGAGTGAGCCCCGACGGATGTTGGCTGATGAGGCGCCGATTGCAAGGTGGCGGAAGACATTGTCTCCTGGATGGCGCGCAGGATAGACGGTGATGTCGTTGACCACTGCTCTCAGGCAGCGTCAGCAAAAGGGTGAGCTGGCCGATGGGAAAGCAGCAGCTCCTGGAATGCGAGAAGGTCGCCTCTGTCACCAATGAGACGGGCCAGCTACCATCGTGCGCGGTGCTGTCGAGGAGCCGTCAGGAGGGGAGCCCGATGAGAGGGGGACGGGGGGGTGGTGGTGGTTGTTGATGGGCTTGAGCCTTGGGGGGCTCCTTGGGTCAAAGAATCAACACGCGGGATAACGGGGGGCCCACTGGTGCTGGTCCCTTCCCTCTGACGCCGGTCCCGCCTAAGGTATGGCTCGAGCCGGGACGGTCGCGATGGAGACGGTGGGAGGTTTTGCGGGCGCGGCGGGCGGGACGAAGGGGGGACGGAGGAATGGGAATTAGCCGTTGGTGTTGAATGGGAGACGGGAAGAGATGGGAGATGGGAGATGGGAGATGGAGATGGGATGGATCAAAGAGGTGCAAGATCCAAGAAACCTCAATGAAGGGATTGGGACGGGGCGTCGCAGCAGCAGCGGAGCGGATTATTGCTTGAAGCTGTAATTTCCTTTTCGCGACTCAGGCTTAGCGAGGCGTGCGCATGGAAGCGGAAGGCGGTGAGGCAAAAGCGCTGCTTCGGGCTAGGCCGGCTCCCGCGGGTCCTGGGGCAGTGGGCAAGTCCCTGAGGCTTGACTCTAGAGCAGCCGTAGCAACGCGGATCGGCCTCACCGTCGTCGTGTGTACGGGCCATTTATTGACGACGGGAACAATAGAACCCCCATTGCCTGAGGTCGAGGGCAGCAGGCCGGTGTACGAGTCGTGTCCGAGAGGATATGCGAGCGTATATGCGAGGGGGCGCGGCAGAAAGGGCGCTGTCGCTGGAAAGGGGTAGTGGCAGTGGTAGTCGTAGTGGTATTGATATTGTATTGTATTGCTACCTTATTGATCCTGTAGCACATCTCAACCACTTTTAGGAAGCCTTCTACGAGGGCGTCGAGGAGAGTCGGAGGCGAGCATTTCTTTCCATATACATGCAGCAACATGTCTCTCTCTTCACCAAGTCTCGCCCCCCAGGCAATGTTTCTTAGCATTGATGGTAACAACAGACCAATCCTGTCATCTCCGCCAGGGATATACCAGAGATGATGTCCTGCGCAGAGGATGACGCCTGCAGAAGCATCCCAGCATACATACACACGTGAAGTCGACCTCCTTTCCAGAAGAATGGCGGCAGACGATGTGCAGAGGATCTATATGTCAATAGCAGACTCGGATCCTGCTCCTTCAGCCCCGACAGGGTGCACCGACAGTACCCATCTCCCGACTGTTTCGAAGCCTTCAACGTTCAACCAGATCTCACCTCGCCCGGCGAAGACAAACAAATGCCAGGGTCATGTCATACAAGAGGCCTTCAGGCTTCACCGAGCATGCAAGTGTTCAAGCACCAATCACGCCCGTGCACGCCTCCCAGCCTCCCCGTCGTCACTCGTGGCTGGAAAGCGTTGCCACGGCCATTGATCCCTGCGGCTACGGAGTGCGCGGTATTATTTGAGTTCCTGTGCCGCGTATCACGGGATCGAGGCTCGAGCGGACAGTGGACATGGACCAGGGCTCACGGCCAGGAATAGCACGGCGTGGTCGATGCATCGCGGCAACTGGGGAGATGGTTGGCGGTTGAAGCTTGAAGCTTGAAGCTTGAGGACTTGAAACAAGAGGCTCAGCCTATCCGTCGCACGAATCCGCCGAGGAAGAAAGATATGCGGATGGACATGCCTGCTTGGTCCTTGCTTGCTGCCAAGTCCCATCGATCCGTTTGACTCGAAATCTCTCGGTGCCCGCCTCTTGTCCTTCATCCCGGGCCTCGCACCGCAATGCACTTGATAGATTCCTCCAGCGCATGAACTGGTAACACATAATCATCATTATTCAGAATGGTCAAGATCGCAAGGAGGAATCACTATAATCACATGTGTGTAGAAAAGCACCTCCTGGTCCCGTCCTGGTCCCGGCCCCGGTCGATGCAATGCAGTTTCGACAACTATAAATACATCCGTCCAACGCAAAAGAGAAAGGTTCAGGTACAAGTTGCGTTTGGCGCACCCTCTACTGTAACATGTGGTAGTTCGTAGCCTGCAGAATCCCTAATGCCTGCTTCAAGCCTCCAGCACGAGGTGTAACGAGATGTAAGGTTACTTTGTACTGTATCATCAGAATACTCCACAAGTAGTAATGAATTCCTACTACTCACGTTTTCACCCTGCGATAGCCACGTCTTTGTTTCTAATTCGCAGCTGTCACTCTATTCTCCTGATGTAGAGGCAGATCGCTGTGTCCCTCGTGTAATACCGTCTGTGATATCGTATCTTATCTTTCGGTATTCCGCGGAGCATCTCAACTCCCTTTCTGTTGTTATATCCTTTGTCGCCCCAGGCTTGAACAAGTTTATATTCGTCCTCGGAACCCAAAGCCATCAAGGACTAGGGTAGGGAGAAAATCCAAGCGAGCGCGCCAATTCTCCTTCACCGAGCTTCCACTCTTCCTCTCCTCTTCAACATTTAACCCCTCATAATACAACATGGCTACATTTCCCTCTCCATTCAAATTCTCAGATGGGCCAGTGTCCAGATCAAGTGTCAAATGTCAAGTGTTAGTGCCCAGTGTCAAGTGTCCACTGCCCATGCCCATGCACAGTGCCCAGTGTCACCAAATACCATCTATAAGTCCCGCGCACTGTCTGAGAACCATCAAGACAGCATGCTCGATGCTTGCCTGTTATTCGCCATCTGAAATTCAATGCTTGGGAATAGATAGGCTTGGATTACCCATAACCAGCGCGAGCCCGGGTTGAGTCGTCCCAGAGATAAAGAAAGGAAGCAAGAAAGGAAGAGAGCTAATATCGAGCTCCAAGAACATGAACCTCTCAAGACGGGGAAGCTCCCCCCTCAACCCGTTCGCCGTACGATTGAATATCAAGTTTCATGTGGCATCAGGCTTTATGTGGCTGAATCTTGATCTTTCAATCCGCCAGCCTTGTTTCTGGTGAGACGAACGGTCAATCAAACAGAATTGCTCACACGTTCAGAAGCCAGAAATCCAGCCAGTGGCGGATACAGCCGCGAGTCTCTTGCTTCGCCGTTCGAAGATATGCGGCCTGACTTCATCCTCGGCAGCTTGAATCAGATGTCAGACATCATGTCAGGTGAAGAGTCCAGTCTCTCATTGCCGTCGATATTCTTTGTTGTTGCGCGGAGGTGAAAGGATTGCTCAAACATGGATTCTTTGTCCGGGATGTTGTTTCTACAGCCATATTCAGGTGAATATGATTATTTCCACATATACTTTATATAGTGATGCCATTGCTTCGTGACAAGTGCGCGAATCCTCTCTAAATTCTGAGCACCTGTTGTCTAGTTACGCTCTCATCGCCATTCTTGACGACCACAGAATCCACCACCACAGAATCCACCACCACAGAATCCACCACCACAGAATCAACCCAACATGTCACGCCCCCCCTCATCCCGCCAACATCACAAGAACCTCGAACCCCTCAAGATCACCCACCACAACCGCCGCTCCTCGACCGCCTCCCTCCCCAGTCCCAGCCTCGTCGCCGCCCGCGCCTACTACCTCGAGCAAACGACGCCTACAGGGCAGGTTGTAGATCCCATCCAGCGACGCAGGAGCCTTTTCGAAGGCCCTGACAATAGCTCCCCTGGCACTCGCAGAAGACACTCGGTTCTCGCACCTTCAGAATCCTCCCCTCGCGCCCTCGCCGTTCCCAGGAGAGCATCCATCCCAGTCCCAGTCCCTTTCGAATACACACACAACCACCTCCGCGACTGGGGCCACGTCTACCTGAACAACGTTTCCACCGCCGACGTATTCGTGCAGGCCTTGCCCCTGCCCCAACCCAATCTCTCCCCCGCCCTCGCCCTCGCCCCCGACTCAGCATCATCACCACACGTTACAATCCGCGCACTTATCCATCCTAAATCAGCCACTCGCAAACCATTCCTTATCCAGCGTTCTTTCGATTTAGATCATTTGCGCGCTAGCATTCCTCTTTCTCTTTCGCCTTCTTCGACTTCTTCTTCTTCTCATCCCATCGAACCTCTTCCTCCTCCTCCTCCTCCAGTTCCTCCACTCCGGCGTTCTCCACGCTCTCACTCTCACTCTCACTCTCGTCCTGGCCCCGCTATACCAATCCGTATTCCCCCCCCCTCCCTTTCCCCCACACCCCAACCCCACTAACCAACCCAGACATCGAATACGCACTCCACTTCCTCCCCGTCCTAGCCTGCCTCATGCTCTCGAGCCACATCCACCGCGGCGACACCATCCACCTTCCAATACCAAACCCTGAGTCCTGGCCTGACGTCGTGAGGTTTGTGTATACGAACCAATCCCAGCCCCATACCATCCCGTCTGTAGGGGAGATTGTTAAATTTTTAGGAGGGTCGATTTGAATATTCGTTTCTTGATGAGAGTTTTGTTTGGGGAATGGATGGATAGATAGATGGATAGATGGATGGGATTTTGATTGAAATTCATCAGCTCTCTCACTCACTCACTCAATATCCTAACATATTCTGCGCTCCGCTCCGCTCCGTTGTCTGTGCGTGCGTGCGTACATGATGCAGGTAGGCAGGCTCCTAGGAGCTGCAGCAGTTGCATAGCGCCGGGGGTTTTTAAAGTCCGCGCTGCGTGCGTGCGTGCGTGCGTGCGTGCGTGCGTTTTTATGCGTGTTATGGCATGGTATGGCTGTATTGGCTGGGATGGGATGGGATTCTAGGATGGGATTCTAGGATGGGATTCTGGTATGGGATTTGTTGTTGTTGGGCTTAGTACAGTACATACTCAGGCGCAATAGCAACAGCAACAGCAACAGCAACAGCAACAGCAACAGCAACAGCAACAGCAACTGACTCATCTATTGGCGCCCATCTATCATATCTACCGGCGCACTATCATATCTACCGGCGCACGTCCTCATCTCAGGGCACACAAGGGGTATTAGATTAGATTACCGGCCGCCCGTGGCCTTTTTTTCTTTTTCTCTTTTTGCCTCTTTTCCTCCTTCCCGCCCCTTTTTCCTGACCCGGAATACTGTATGGAATTTTTGATGCTGCATAACACCCCGCAGCTTCTTTTCTCTTTCCCCTGACCTAGGAAACATACAATCCCGCCTCCCGCCTCGTGGCCATTGCCGAATCAGTACCCTGAATACCCTACTGCCTAGAAGAAGCGCATGCAATGCAACATTCAGAAACCACCAACATCACCCTCATAGGGTCAATCGTAAATCATAAATCATCGGGCCGCGGGTCAATGCCGTTGGCAGACGGAGACCCGTGGAGTTATGCTGCACTAGCGTCCACGGCTCTCCATCTCTGTCGAACTAGAACTGAAACTAGAATCGGAATCTGTATCTGTATCTGTCTCTGAATGCTCGGAATCGTTGGTATCATAGTACCTATTGCTAGCGGAGTCAAGATCGATGTCGGTGTTCTCGACCTTCCTGCCGATGAACTTGTAGAACTTGTCATCGAATTTGTCGTCGAATCTTTCGTCAAACTTCTCGTCGAATGTCTCGAATTTCTCAAACTTCTCATCGACATACGTCTCGACATATTTCTCGCTTGGCTTCTCATCGACATACTTCTCGTCGAATGTCTCGAATTTCTCAAACTTCGCATCGACATACTTGTCGACATACTTCTCGACATACGTCTCGACATATTTCTCGCTTGGCTTCTCGCTTGCAAACACCTTATCGTCCTTGTACCGAATGAGTCCAGGGTGATTCCCTGGAGGCAGCGTGATGCTCTCGCTCCGCCGCGCCCGAGGACTCATACGATGGCTATCATTGGCATCACCGTCTGCACGGCTACCCCATGATGTCTGAGCGGTTAGCAAAGATACCCAAGGAGCGTTACACAACTTACCACGCGGAGAGTACACAGCGCGTACAACTTGATCAGGCCATGAAAGTACCCAAACAGGATCGAGGCCGGCAGAAACACCAGATCAGAGGGCTCGCGCATGAAGAGGCCGACGAGCTTGATGACCTTGGAGAACAGCATGAAGGCGAGCTGCAGGCCAAGTGCGATCCACTGATGCTCGGGCGACCAGTTCTGCGTCGCCTTGATGGTCAAGAAGATGATGAGCGGATCGAAGACGAAGGATAGAGACGTGAACGTGGCGATATGCAGAGCATACGTCGACCAGGGTTGTTGGCTGCGACCGTCAGTACTGTCTGCTTTAACTCGGTGTGAGACTCACGTCCACACGTGTCTCTCGGTGAAGAGGCTGGTATAGTTGCTCCGCCAGTTGCTGCGCGCCCACCGCGAGCACTGGAACAGGAACTTGGAGTTGTTCTCGAGCGTCGTCTCGATCTCACACTCGCGGTTGTACTGGATCCACGTCTTCCACCGGTTCGAGACCAGCCAGCGGGTGACGAAGTTGTCGTCGTCCGCGTTCAGCTGGAACTTGCCCCAGCGCTCCGTCTTGAAGCCGTCCAGGAACAGGGGGCTCTGCAGGATCTCCGATCGGAAGGCGCAGGTCCGGCCCGACATGCACGAGGTGCCGCCATCAATCCCGTGAGTGGCCGAGATCTCGAAGTTGCGTCGCTCGATGTAGGCCGCGCCCAGCCAATTGTAGATCCGTGCCGCAATAGGCCCGGACCGGATTCGCTTGACGCGCTGACAGGGACCAACACCCCCTATTCTCGCATCCTCGAACGCGGCCAAGAGCCAGGGCAGGATCGTGCGTGGCCACGTGACATCGTCGTCCGCCATGATGGTGACGGCGGACTTGACGCGGGGGATGGCCTCGCAGACCTGGATGCGCTTATTCGCGATGGGGGTGTGGAAGACGCGGACGTTGGGCGCCTCGAGCGTCTTGACAAACGAGAGGAGCTTCTGATATTTGTCCGCGGTCGTGACGAGGAGGAGCTCATAGGGGTGACAGGCGAGGATGCTCTGCAGAGCCTCCCTCAACTCCTCGAAGTTATTGTGGATGGTGGGGATGATGACCGTCACATCCTTGGATGAGTACGACGGTTTGGCGGGAATTGGATATGATTTGTAGAGCCAATGGCTGATCGTGTTCACGATCAAGCGGAGGTAGCGATGGATCCTATCAATGGGCAGGTTAGTCCTCAAGACCGGATACAGAAGGGGATTGGAGCCGCACGACGCTCTCCTCCACCTCCTCCAGATCATGGCCGAGATCGGCACGGGGGCTCGCTGACTTACCAGAGGATCAAGAACAGCCACTGTGAGAAGTCGAGGCTGGTGGATGTTCGCATATTGGAGATGGAACCTGGAAGGACGACCGGGCCGAGCAGGTCGGTTCCGGATCAGGATCAGATTGTCGTGTGTCGGCCAGACTGCCACCGTGGGGGGATTGGGAGGGGAAGGGCCGAGGGATCATGTGTCGAGACGGGAGGGGGGGAAGACCGCGGGCTCGAAGGTTGTGTGCTGGTCGAACGCATGCGCGGGGGGGATGGAGGAGGGGTGGTCGTGGCGGGTGGCGGCGGCGGCGGCGGCGGCGGGGAGGAGACTGCAGACGTCTGACGAGAGAGGAGGGGGGGGGTACTCTCTTGGGAGGAAGAGGCTGATTGATGGATTGGATTGGATTGATTGATTGATTTGATTGATCTTCAGAGGGAAGAGAAGAGCAGACAGCCAGCCGTGCATGCGCGCGCGCGCGTTTGTGTGTGGTCGAGGGGCCCCCCCGCAAGGCTGGCGGGGTCGATCTTCCGAGGGAGGAGGGAAGAAGTGATTATTCACTGGATCCAGCCGTGAAAACTTTTCTCGATTGCTCGCTCAAAATGCTTGAAATACAAAATGCAACGAATGCTGTGTGTGGGCCAGAGCAATTGCTTGCGCTGGTCGAGGTTGCGGGAAAAGCAGAGAAATTACGGATACGCATGTATGATGGATGGGAGTAGAGATGGATGGATGCTTTGTGACGAGGCCCGAGAAAAAGAGACTTTTCTTTCCGAACAGCAGCAGCAGCAGCAGCAGCAGCAACGAAGGACAGTTTATAAACAAAACAAGGACCCCAAACGACCGTCAGTCCGCGGTGTCCGCCGGCAACAAGATGAGAGGAATGAAGATACAAAAAGCAGCCCGGGCACCCCTAGGATACGACACCGTGGATGAGAAGTCATAGACAAGCAGGATCGGGGACCAGGAGGGCAGGGTCTGGACGGGGTCTATATAGGCCAGGCACGCGCAGGGCCGGCAGCGCACCATGTCTCGCAGACTGCACGAGGATGGGGAATATCATTGCAACGGCGGGGGGGGGGGGGAGAGGGAGGGGGGGGGG